ACTGTGTACTACAAAGCTCGCACAAACAAGATCCAGTACTACTGTATACTACAAAGCTTGCACAAACACGTTCCAGTACTACTGTGCACTACACAGCTTGCACAAGCACGTTCCAGTACTACTGTGTACTACAAAGCTTGCACAAAGTCGCTCCCGGTACTACTGTGTACTACAAAGCTTGCACAAACAAGATCCAGTAGTACTGTATACTACAAAGCTTGCACAAACACGTTCCAGTACTACTGTGCACTACACAGCTTGCACAAGCACGTTCCACTACTACTGTGTACTACAAAGCTTGCACGAACACGTTCCAGTACTACTGGGTACTACAAAGCTTGCACTAACACGTTCCAGTACTACTGTGTACTACAAAGCTTGCACAAACACGTTCCAGCAATACTGTGTACTACAAAGCTTGCGCAAAGTCGCTCCCAGTACTACTGTGTACTAAAGACTTTCCAGTATTTCTGTATACTACCAGTAGTACCCGCACGAGGCGGGGCGGAAAGTTGCCTTAAAGATATATATAAGACCTTTCTCATCTATAGAACTTGCATGCGCCGTGCGCCAGCCAAGCCCGTGCGTGCGTGCACTCTGCGAAAGTGGTGTCCTGTTTCACATGTCACATTTGAAGCTCCACTTCGCCCTTCACACTTCTCACTGCACTCTTCACACTCCACACCGCACACTGCACACTTCACACTCCACACTTCTCACTTCACACTGCACTCTTCCCAATCCACACTTCACACTTCACTGCGCGCTTCCCACTGCACACTCCACACTTCACACTTCACACTCCACACTTCACACTTCACACTCCACACTTCACACTGCACTCTTCACGCCCCACACTTCACACTACACTCTTCACACTCCACACTTCATCTCATCTGAGCTCTTCTCACCTTATTCCAGCTCATCTCTTCTCATCTCATCTCTTCTCATATGTCACCTAAGCTTTCATGAATCACTTCCCAGTACTACTACTAAGGAACTTGCATGCGCCGTGCGCCAGCCAGGCCGTGCGTGCGTGCTTTGTGCGAAGCTGTTGCAGTGTTGCTGTCCAAGAACATGACCTGCGCGCGACCCCGGTACAATGCAAACACTTTCCTCACACTTCACATTGCACTCTTCACACCCCACACTCCACACTTCACACTTGAACTTCATCTCAACTCATCTCATCTGAGCTCTTCTCATCTCATTCCATGCCTTCCCATATGTCAGCTAAGTTCTTCTTGGCTATTTTTATGTCAAGTACTTCCCAGTACTGATGTCTACTACAAAAGCTTGCAAAAACCACTTCCCAGTACTACTTTGTACTACAAAGCTTGCACAAAACACTTCCCAGTACTACTTTGTACTACAAAGCTTGCACAAAGCACTCCCCAGTACTACTTTGTACTACAAAGCTTCCACAAACTACTTCCCAGTACTACTTTGTACTACAAAGCTTGCACAAAACACGTTCCAGTATTACTTTGTACTACAAAGCTTCTACACACACCAAGTTCTTTCGCAGAGAAGCTTTTACACACAGAAACTTTTACACACAACAAACTTCTTCACAGAGAAGCTTTCACACACAGCAAGCGTTTACACACAGAACACTTACACACAGTGCTTTTACACATGGCAAGCGTTTACACACAGAAACTTTTGCACAGAGACGCTTTTACACACAGAGAGGCTTTTACACACAGCAAACTTTTACACAAAATCTGTTTCACACAGCAAGCTTTCAAACACAGCAAGCATTTACACACAGAACACTTACACACAGTGCTTTTACACATGGCAAGCGTTTACACACACACAACAAGCTTTTTAAACAGAGAAACTTTTACACACAACAAGCTTTTACACAGAGAAACTTTACACAGCAAACTTTCACACACAGAAGCTTTTACACACAACAAGCTTCTTCACAGAGAAGCTTTCACACACAGCAAGCGTTTACACAGACACACAGTGCTTTTACACATGGCAAGCGCTTACACACACAGCAAACTTTTTAAACAGAGAAGCTTTTACACACAACAAGCTTTTACACAGAGAAACTTTTACACACAGCAAGCTTTCACACACAGCAAGCGTTTACACACAGAACACTTACGCACAGTGCTTTTACACATGGCAAGCGTTTACACACACAGAAACTTTTACACAGAGACGCTTTTACACACAGAGAAACTTTTACACACAGCAAACTTTTACAGAAAAAAATTTTGCACAGAGAAGCTTTCTTGTACATAATCACAACAGGAATTGCAGCTCCAAAACTGGATCTCGACGCCAAAGCGACAAAAAGACGATTTTGAAGCACTTTTTAAAAGGAATTTTAAAAGGAAAATTATTAGTGCCAAAATTGAGAAAATCTGCTGACAAATCACTTTCACAGCCTTGATGCAGCCATTCCAATACGATTTACGATCTTCAGCTGCAAAAGACAATAGTATTACGCATGCAGCCGCTGCACCAAGCAACCTTGACGCAGCCACTACAATGCGATCCGCAGAGACTGAGTTGCAAAACACAATAGAACTACGTGCAATGGCGTCGGAAATTGCAGCTCCAAAACTGGATCTCGACGCCAAAGCGACAAAAAGACGATTTTGAAGCATTTTTTAAAAGGAATTTTAAAAGGAAAATTATTAGCGCCAAAATTGAGAAAATCTGCTGACAAATCACTTTCGCAGCCTTGATGCAGCCATTCCAATACGATTTACGATCTTCAGCTGCAAAAGACAATAGTATTACGCATGCAGCCGCTGCCAAGCAACCTTGACGCAGCCACTACAATGCGATCTGCAGAGACTGAGTTGCAAAACACAATAGAACTACGCGCAATGGCGTCGGAAATTGCAGCTCCAAAACCGGATCTCGACGCCAAAGCGACAAAAAGACGATTTTGAAGCACTTTTTAAAAGGACTTTGAAAAGGAAAATTACTAGCGCCAAAATTGAGAAAATCTGCTGATACATCACTATCGCAGCCTGGATGCAGCCACTCCAATACGATTTACGATCTTCAGCTGCAAAAGACAAAAGTATTATGCATGCAGGCGCGGCATCAAGCAACCTTGACGCAGCCATTCCAATGCGATCTGCAACCACGGCTTCAAGAAACGCATAGAACTACGCACACAGGAAGCACCATTGTTGCAAAACACATAGAAGGAACCAAACGACCGCAGCCGCAACCGCCGCACACACAAAGTACCTTTCATCGCCGGCTGCAGCCACTTTACACGGAAAAACACAAGGTTTCGTGCTCCGGCTTCCTCCCCAAAACAAAGCCCATGCAACATTCATGCAGCCATTCCAATGCGATCTGCAACCACAGCTTCAAGAAACGCATAGAACTACGCACACAGGAACAACCATTGTTGCAAAACACATAGAAGGAACCAAACGACCCCAGCCGCACCCGCCGCACACACGAGGTACCTTTCATCGCCGGCTGCAGCCACTTTACACGGAAAAACACAAGGTTTCGTGCTCCGGCTTCCTCCCCAAAACATACCCCATGCAACATTCATGCAGCCATTCCAATGCGATCATGCAACCAGAGATTCAAGAACCGCATAGAACTACGCACACAGGAACAACCACTCGTTGCAAAACACATAGGAGGAACAATTCGGCGCATGAAACGACCCCAGCCGCACCCGCCGCACAGACGAGGTACCTTTCATCGCCGGCTGCAGCCACTTTACACGGAAAAACGCAAGGTTTCGTGCTCCGGCTTCCTCCCCAAAACATAGCCCATGCAACATTCATGCAGCCATTCCAATGCGATCTGCAACCACAGCTTCAAGAACCGCATAGAACTACGCACACAGGAACAACCACTCGTTGCAAAACACATAGGAGGAACAATTCGCGCATGAAACGACCCCAGCCGCACCCGTCGCACACACGAGGTACCTTTCATCGTCGCCTGCAGCCACTTTACACGGAAAAACACAAGGTTTCGTGCTCCGGCTTCCTCCCCAAAACATAGCCCATGCAACATTCATGCAGCCATTACAATGCAATCTGCAACCAGAGATTCAAGAAACGAATAGAACTACACACACAGGAACCATCATTGTTGCAAAACACATAGAAGGAACCAAACGACCGCAGCCGCAACCGCCGCACACACGAGGTACCTTTCATCGCCGGCTGCAGCCACTTTACACGGAAAAACACACGGTTTCGTGCTCCGGCTTCCTCCCCAACTCACCACTTCCCTTCCTCACCGCTTCCCATCGTCACCACTTCCCATCGTCACCCCCTCCCTTCGTCCACTTCCCTTCGTCACCACTTCCCTTCCTCACCACTTCCCATCGTCCCCACCTCCCTTCCTCACCATTCCCCTTCATCATCACTTCCCTTCGTCACCACTTCCCATCGTCACCACTTCCCATCGTCACCACTTCCCTTCGTCACCACTTCCCATCGTCACCACTTCCCTTCGTCACCACCTCCCTTCGTCCACTTCCCTTCGTCACCACTTCCCTTCCTCACCACTTCCCATCGTCCCCACCTCCCTTCCTCACCATTCCCCTTCATCATCACTTCCCTTCGTCACCACTTCCCATCGTCACCACTTCCCATCGTCACCACTTCCCTTCGTCACCACTTCCCTTCGTCACCACTTCCCATCGTCACCACTTCCCTTCGTCACCACTTCCCTTCGTCACCACTTCCCTTCGTCACCACCCGTCATTATCACCACCCTTCATCAAAGTCAATTCCACTGCTTCTTATTCTTTTGTTATGTATTGTTATGTTATGTATTGTTATGTGATCTACCACCCTGCATCATTTCAAGTCGCAGAATTCTATTTGTCCGTAACACGGAAGTATTGCTTCCCAACTTCCTTTGATTATGTTGATATATATTTATATATATATATATCTCCAGATGGATTATTTTTTGATCTTTGGATCCGACATTTTCCCATTCAGGTGGTCGCGTCAACTGAGTCGTTTGTGTCGTTTCTTATGTCGGACAGGACCACTCTGTGGCTGGAGTCCTCGCCGGGTCAAGGGGACTTCCATGCCTTGCGACTGGAACCCGGACACGTGGTGCCTTTGATATCTGGAAGATGTTGGAAGATGTTGGAAGATGTTGGAAGATCCCAAAATTCCCAATTACCAATTTGTAGGTGACTTGTTTGCAATTCTTTGCGATTTGCAATTCTTGGAGAGTATGTTGCCTATATCGGGCCATGCTGGTTGGTGTTTTCATACTGTGCTACTCTTGCTGTTTCTATCGTATTATACTCCAGCTTCTTTCCACTACATCCACTTTTCATTCTACTTGGTGGCCGTAAGCAGAACCAGTAGATCAGGACAAATGGGGTCATCCTTATGTAGTTGGTGAGATTCCAACGGTATCGGATCAATATGATCAATGCGTTGAGCATCACATTGTCACAGTAAACAGTTCACTTCTAGTGCTGTAGTCTATAGGGATTAAAACGTTGAAGTCCATGCAATGTCGGTTTGTTGAATCATTTGAATCTATATCAGAGTACATCCGAGTTTTTTTTTTTGTTGGGGTACCTCATAATCATCTCAACTTCCCATGTTTTGGTTTGTTTCGGCTCCCTAGGCTCGGTTCCATGGAACCAATGTGAGACACCACGTCCCACCCAACAAGTCCCAGTGCAGCCGCGTCTCCTTGGACTTTCGCATCGGTGTTGGACGATTCTACGACCCCAAGTGGCGTCAGGAGCTCATTTCGGAACGTTTAACTGGTGCTTCAACCTGACATTTACAGAATACATTCAGGATATAGTAATATCATGTAATATCTAGATATATAAATAGTAATATAATGCGGATGCATTAATGCGTTGGGATTTTAGCGATGTTGTATTTGAACAGACGCACCATGATTTACCGACCCCGCAAGAACAACTAGTTGCACCAGATGATCTGAGCGGTCCACAGCTCAGGTCTGGAGGGCGTACAACACTACCACCCGCGTCGAATCATTCGGATGTAGTGCAACCGAGCCAAAGCTGCTGCATGTTGCACTATGGGCGGAAAAAAAACCTCGAGAAAGAGCTTTATGGAGATTCCGTTGGGTGTGATGGACGCTGATTTTTTTCTTTCATTTTCCAGTCTCTGCATCTTGCAATTATGCGGGGTACTTTATCATATTTTATCGCATGCGTAACATGTCCTGGTAATTCCTGGTACTGTAGATACATGTGCAGTAATTATAGATACATTCTTTGCTGGTCATTTCCAATGCAAATGTGGTCGCAAGTTACCCTGTGAAGTGTGGAGGAAGTCGTTTTCAAAGCATTTCGGGTGGGGTTCAAGCACCATCATTCTATGGTTGATTCAGCATTTCGAACTCCAAGTGTGGATCCTTATGACCTTATTTTGCCTTATTCCATGTTGGGGACAAAGCTTGAGGTTGCACCGCGAAAGCTTGGCTTAAATATGATATTTGCAAAATCATCAGAGATTGCACGTGAAAAGCAGGCAGGAAGCTGAAGTCTTCACAGTGTTAGAGTCACAGTGGAAACTTCCACAACAAAAATTGCCAGACTCATCCAGACTCACTGCTTTGCGTTCCCCTTAAATCAAGCTTTGAATCCTTCGGAGCCCATGGCGTTTCCCGGTTTTCGGTCCCAAAGTGAGCCCGTGAAACATGTGATTTCGCTGGGCTGCCGCTGTTCCCAGGCGTCAGTGTACAGAGCTTTAGGCCAGCGGCGCTATGCTTTGCCCTTCGATTGGATTTTCACTTCGCCCCAGATGGTGACGCATTGCTTGCAAGACGATTTCCAGAGTTTTTTGGATCGGCAGCAGTTGTACCAAAATGGCAGCAGTTTCGATGCCATTGGCCTAAAACCGGGCTCTGCACCTCGCGAGAGGAGGTTGATTGGGCATAAACTCTACTCCACATTGACTGCAGGGGTTGGTAAGGGTACCATTTTCAACCACAGAGATCCATTGCACAATGACGAGGATTACCTCTACACTGTGAGATGTGTGGAGCGTTTTCGCCTGGCTTTAGCATCTGGGGAGCGGAAACTCTTCGTGATGTTTCTCAGCAACCAGTTGGGCACCATCCATTTTTTGGCAACTGACCAAACTATCTGACTTGCCTTGTCTTACATTTTGATCGGGAACTTCTTTTTTTCCGTTTGTTCTTTCCAAAAAAAAGTGAAGAGCCGAACCAGAAAGTGGCTCCATCCAATCCTCTTGCCCAACAATGCAGTTCTTGATTCTGAGACTAGAGACTGCCATGGTCATAGTTGACAACGTTGTTCGGCTAGTTTGGAGGATGTAAGTTTGAAACCCTCCATGTCATACACATGTGTATGTAAATACCTATGTCCACATCTACATCTACATCTACATCCATATCTATCTACTTGTATATATATATATAATATATATATATATATATTATATATATATAATATATATATATATATGTAAAATTGTATGCATCTATATCTAGATCTCTCTCTCTATATGCAAAGACGCACGCATACAGACATAGACTGTATCTCGAGTTTGCTGCATTGCTGCGTGCAGGTTGAACTTGAACCGGCAGTTGTGGCTTGAACCAGATATTCTTCAGCTCTTCACCGAGCTCCAGCGTCGCAGTCGCAATTTCTTACTGCTGGTGGTGGACTGCAGCTGCAAGAACCTGGGTGCGGCAGCAGGACATGTCGAGTTGTTGTCGGAGTTGGGGGAAGAACAGAAGCTGCTGATGTACCGAGTGCCCTGCTGTGGGGACAACACCGGCAGCTACTTCCGCAACGACTGGGATGCGGAGCGCGTGAAGTCGCTGCTGGTGGATCCGTTCACCTTCCACCTGAGCCCGGATCCCCTGGAGGTCCAACAGGTCCAACAGGTCCAGCTCGGCGAACGTGGCGGATACGGGGCGGATTGCCAGGTTGACGATGCCAAGGAATCCACGGAGCCCAAGGGGACAGTGGTGCGCCGTTGGGGAAGGAAGACTTGAAGCGAAGCGGCGAAGCCAAAGGAAAAAGCAGGAGCTGCGGAGGGTGGAGATATGTGGAGATAAATGTGCTCAGTTCCTAAGATTGTAGTTGCAGTTACCTAACAGGAATAGATAGGGTGAACGAATGCCAATTGTAGCTGGTGGTTGGGCGTAGTGGTTGGCATGCTATTGTTCAAAGGCAATAGCTAACGCATCATGACCAGGACTAGCAAAGCTGCGGAAGTTGTTTTGGCATCAAACATGGGTCGTTTCAAATGGGTTTGAATTGGGTCCTCAATGGTCCTCCCATCATTGATGGTGCAGTACTTGAAACAACGAGGTTGAGTTTCTCTGGGTTCTGCTGATTGGAGCAAGGATGGACCTGTACCCATGTTCTGTTTTCTCTGTTTTTGTTGACATTTGCAAGGTTAACTTGTCAATTGTCAATCACTCTTGCCTTTGGCCACATCCTGTCCCCCCTCTCCCTAGGTTTCAAGAGTAGTGGTGCTACTGCATTCCATACACCATAAGAGTTTCCGCATCACTGTTTCGGTTGGATTTTTCCCCCTTTGCCAAAACCACCGTTCTCTCCCGTTGCCGCAAAACGCTGTGGACCCTTTCGGCTGCAGCCGATGATCGCCATGGATGACCCATTGGCGAAGGGCCGGGAATGGACTGGGGAGGAGTCTGCACCAAACAGGACGCGGTGCCAATCGGCTGGTGTTTTGTTGAGATTTTGGTCCAGCAATTGACACAGCATCTCCATGCTGGGCATTGCACCAAGCCATAGCATGCAGATGCACCTGGAAAGGATATGAAAGGATCAGGTTTTTCCAACCAGTATGACTAGGTGGTGATCTCATTCTTTGACTAATCCGGCTGATCCATTCCTGTTTAAGATGATGGTCCCAAATTGGACGATGACTTTTCAGCGGGATTGATACATATATTCATACTACCAACCATTCTTGTCGTTGTTCTGTTTGTGTTATTGATTGCTTTTTAGACTGGTAAGCTGTCCGCTTTAGTCATTTTTTGGTTGATGCGTGGAGTGTTTTTTTGCTGGGGGTTGTTCATACCGTCAGAAGATTGGGGCTCGTATCCAGGGATTCCAGAGATTTGGTTTGAGGCATCCGCAATGGTGGTGGGAATTCATACCCAAGAGTATCATGAAGAATGTCCTTGAACCAGCCATTTATCATACCTTCTGGGGCAATAACAGAAACATTCTTGACCATCAGCACTCGGCTCCCAACTTTTGCAACATCTTGAACCCCAGTACACTACTCATGAACCCCCAAACTAGTATATACCGTTATATTTAACCCCCCAAAAGACAGAGAAACCATGAGAAACCAACATTAACACAGATAGTAGTGACATTTTACATCATTTTGCTTTCCTGTGATTATGGGGGTGGCTGTTTCAAACAAACATGGCAGGCGGCTAGCGCGGGTCGACGCGTTGCTTCAACAAGCTTTGCTCGGCCTCTCGCTAGCCCAAGACCGTTCCGTCAAGCGCAGGATCCGACAACGACTCCAAAGGTCTGCCGGGATCGGGGCACCGGGGAAGGGTTGGATATGGTTGGATAAAGGATGAAATATGATGAAATGGTGGACTGAAAGATCTGAAAGATCTGAAAGGTGAATTTGGGTCAATTGTCCTCTTCCTGGACAACAAGTTTTCGATGCAAGTTGCGGTGTCCGACACCAGTTTCGTGCTGCACAGGCACTGTGACTAGATCCATGGTAGAAGTGAAAGGTGATAGAGTGATAGAGCATCATAGATCCAAAGAAGACGCCCCATGTAGGATATTTTGGTGAGGGTATTGATCTTCAAACCAGCAAACCTGCAAGATCCTTCAATGATCATCCGTCCTGCATAGTACATATCCTGAAAGCTGCAGGAAGCTGAGCTCGTTTCTCAGTGAAAAGGACTTTGAAGATGCCATGTCCCGTTTCCGGACGATGAGTGAAGCACGTTCAGAGCTGTACCACGGTTCGGAGCAAACAGCTCCAAGCTACAAGGAACAGCTCGCTGACGTAAGAGACGTCAGGAACGCCGGTAGCACGCACCATGCGCACAATGCGCACCATGCGCAAACTCCGAAACAAGGAGACGTCGTGTTTGACGTTTGCTACCTGCATTTCGATGAGAAGAGTCTGCCCGGCACTCCCTGTGTTTGCCTGTCAACAGATCGTCAGGTTTGATGCCTGGAAGACTGTGAGCTTCATCCGAAACGTTTGCACACTCCTTACATGGAAGATACACACGCATTCTTTCACACATTCTTTCAGACATTTTCAGACCATTGCAACATATTGCAACCATGACATGCCAAAGCGGCCATCGGTTTCCAGGCGACAGATACACCAGTCTCTGCTGGGATGATCTCTGAAGGGTGCTGAAAGCGCCCAATTCCTCTACTAATGTAGCGTACATGAATGTAGTCTGAATGTACTGTCCACATCTGTCCAGATTTTGCAAACACATTTGTTTTGCGGTATAGATTTGTATACATTTGTCTCAGGGTTCATCCCAGGCAAGTTGTGAACTCTGTGCAACGTTGTGAAACCACCTTGCCCTGCGCTGATGCAATGCATCCAGCTGCCAATTTTCAAGGCAATTGGGCGGCCGTTGCAGAAATCGAAGCAACCAGGGAAGCCGCACGTGCTAATCTGAAAAGGGCTCAACCTCCAGAACCAGAATGTCCCACGGTCATAAATCTTGGCTGGAATCACTGCGAAGTGATGTGATTGTGACTGGACATGCTTCGACTTGGCTGTTTTGGTTCCAGGGCCCGGGGTGCAATGGGATAAGTGCGTGTATTGCACCACAACATCAATTAAGGTAGTCGCCAGATAATTTAAATGTACAGACGGGCGCAGAGAGGTAGATACATGATCATGCTGTCCAATATGCTGTTCAACACGAGAGTCACGCACAGACACATATAACTGGCCCTCCTTAGCTGGACATTCAGAGAATCTTGAACCTTTGGCATCCTTTGGCATTGTTTTCCCATGTTTTCCCTAACGAAGAGCAAAAAAAAATCCGATAAGTATAGACAGATATAGACAGTATAGATAGGTCAGACGGTCACATCACCAGGATCTCAGGATGGATCTCAGGCACACCCCGGTGGCACACCGGTGGCACACCGGAGGCACACCCCGGTAACTCCTCACCCCGTCCCCCTTTCCACGCCATGGCGCCACCTCTGACGCTGCTGTCGTTGCTGTCGTTGCTGTCGTTGCTGGTGACGGTGCCCACGGAGGAGCCCTGCACGGCGCTGACCACCACGGTGTCTGGGGACAGCACCGTGGTGACCATCGACTGCGATGACTTCATCATCATCGTCACCTGCGCACAGGAGACGATGTTTGAAGACGTGGGATAAATATGGCCAATATGGGACAATATGCGACAAAAACTTGAACATCCCCTGACATGAACTTGTTGAGTTTTTTCCGCGGTGAGTTGGGTATTTCTAGTTGTGAAAGTTCAGGGAATGAGGATTTTCGACTGGTAATTGAGGCCGTGCTTTTGATTGATACGACTTATCCATTACTTATCTGTGATTTGTGTGTCACACAAAGACATAACACGTCACCTATCTTTTGTTTTCCTCCCCGCTGCCTGGATCATAGGGAGGGATTTGCTCTCGCGAGACATGGCCAAGTGGCATACGCTGTGCGGCCCGTGAAAAGGCCGTTTGCCGCTGACTACAGCCGCACTTCGAGAGGCGGTGCTTGGAGTTGGGATTTAGGTTTTGCCGCTGCCCAACCAACATTGGTAGCGGAGCGTGGCTCCGTTGCCTTTGGGCCTTTGTGGGCACTACTTGGTGGACATCATCGACGCCCTGGCCTTGCTCTATGGCGACTTCACCTACGGCTGCCTCAAGCCACGCTGGTGACACTGTGCGGGACAACTACATCCCCTTGTTCTCCAACAAGCCCCAGGACTACAAGGAATGGCGGAAGCGCATCAAGCTTTACCAGAAAAAGATGGACCTGCAGAAGAAGAACAAAGAGGCCACGATTAACCTGCTGACTTCTCTTTCGGGAATCTCCTGGCGGCAGGTGGAGCACATGGTCGACAAGGTGTCCGAGGACGAGACTGGATTCGACCAGGTGTTGGTTCAGTTGGACAAGTGCTTCAAGTATGATGATCGTGTTGAAATGCCTCGGGCGCTGGAGAAGTTCTTCTATGGCTCAACCAGGAGAGGCGACCAGAGCCTTATGCAGTACTGTGCAGACCATCGAGAAGCTCGACGCGAGTTGGAGAAGCACAAGATCACCCTGCCTGACACGGTGAGCGGCTGGTTGATGCTGAGGAGGTCAAGCCTGACCTACGAGCAGAGGCAGATGGTGCAGACGCAGCGCACGTCCCTGGAAGAGGTCAAAGTTGAGGAGGCGATGTACTACCTCTTCGGCCAGGACTATCGCGGACGGAGCGATGTCCGATGGGGTGCAAATGCCCAAGCTGCTAAGCTCCATCAACGATGGCCTCGCCGACAGCATGCCTATGCCGCTGAGGAAGCCTATGAGGTGGTGGATGAGGAGTTCATGGAGGATGACTACATCCAGGACTTTGCCGAGACCGAGGACGCCTACTATGAGGACACCATGGACCAGGACAATGACACCGCTTGGGAGACCTATGAAGCTGAGGACAACATCGAAGAGACCTACTACCAGGCTGACGACTTCCAAGACTATGATGGAGCAATGGAAGAAGCCTACGCTGCCTACTTGGATGCCCGGCGTCAATTCGCCAACCTTCGTGCAGCACGTGGATATTATCCAGTTGTGGCTTTGGCTCCTGATGCAGCTGGTGGTGGAGCTCCTTCGCAACTCCCAGTTTCTCCTGGCGGCAAAAGCAAGTCCAAAGGCAAGGGCAAGAAAAAGGGGTTCTCTTCCAAAGGAAAGGGCCGAAATGCCAACCCCCCTCAAAAGGGATCCATTCCATCAAGAACCTCTGCATTCTTTGGTGGATCTGCGACGTGCTTCGTTTGTGGAAAGGCTGGACATTTGGCGGCACAATGCCCCAATGGGTCACCGACTTCGAAAGGAAATTCATCGGCGTCTTCACCCTCTAAGAGGCCTAAGACTGCTGACGCGATGATGGTGACTGATGAAGCCCTTCATGCAGACGATGGAGTACCGCACCTGGGTCCGAAAGGTTGGTTTGGAATACAGGATGGTGGGGCCTCCAGCATGGTGATTGGGCACAACACCTTGATGAAGGTCATGGACCATTTGGGCGAGAAGGGAGTGAAGACCGCCACATACAAGTTCCATCCTACGGAGAAGATCTTTGCATTTGGCGGTGATGCTCGACGAGAAGCTGCCTGGTCAGTTCGTTTGCCTGTTTGGGTACAACAACAACATGGCTACATCGAATGCTTCGTCGTCGAGGGCAACACCCCTCTCCTCATTGGTCGTCCAATCCTTGCTGCGTTGCAGGTGAAAACAGATTTTTCATCCAACACCATCTCTGTCTTGAACAATGAGTGGAAGCCTGCGGTGATTGGAGAGCGAGGTGAATACCTTCTTCAACTGGATGATGGAGTTTTTGAAGATCCTGAAGGAACCTTGGTGAACTTCGACTACATCACGGATGAGACCTATGGCCACATCGAGAACACCAAGGACACCTCTGCCTATGTCACCCTGGTGGACTACCTGACGGCGACTGGAAGATCCCCGCCTGAGAAGGCTTTCTACCTCAACTACATTGGCACATCAGCGATGTCCCCCAAGGAGAAAGTGATGCCTGAGTTTTCCGAGCCCAAGGACATCCGCAGAGAGATCACTGACAAGCTGATGAAGACCATGTACATGCACTTCCATGTATGGGGCAATCGAAGGACGAGCACCACTGAAGAGATCTTGAACACCCATACAACGGGCCAACGAGTCTTCTGGGAGGTCTACAGTGGCGATGGCTTGCTGTCCAAGACCTTTGAGAGAAATGGATGGAAGGTGCGAAGCTTCGACCTCACCAATGGTTGGGACTTTGAGAAGGCCTCCAACAGACGAGCCTTCTTGGAACTACAAGACAAAGAATGTCCTGACTTCATTTGGTATGCGCCCCCATGCAAGAAGTGGTCGACCCTGCAGAACTTGAACCTGCACACCTTGGCCCAGATCGAGGCGTTGGAAGCTGAACGTGATTTCCAGGAAGCCACTCATCTACGACTGTGCTCCCGCTCCTACATGAAACAGAAACGAGAAGGACGCCATGCTGGCTTGGAGCAGCCCAGGTACGCTGTTTCATGGAAGACCAAGACATTGAAGTCTTTGGAGGATGATGGCTTCGACAGTCTCCTGGACCAGTGCCAATTCGGCACCATGTTGCCCGACAGCTACGGCGACTGGATGTACATCAAGAAGCCGACGCAACTGAGGTGGTCCTCTTTTGAAGCAGCTGAGGAGATGACCCGACTTTGTGTGGGAAATCATGAACACCTTCCCATTGAAGGTTCAAGTCCGAAGATTGGCAACCGAGCCCGAGCTTCTGGAGCCTATCAACAAGGGCTTTGCAATGCCATCTATGACACCGTCTGCAGGATCTATGAGAATGAGTTTGTGGAGGAGGCCTATGCTAATGACGATGCAGAAGCCACTGAGGAGGAGTTCCCCCTGGAGAATAACACCAATGATGATGCGGAACAAGGAGAAGAAGAACAAACATCTCCAGAGGGTGACCCCGCCCTGAATCCTGATGAGGCTGACCCTCGAAAAGCCCCTCAAGGAGCTCTTGGAAGATTGCGAGGCACTTCAGCCCAGGATGTCAAGCGCACCATCATGCGATTGCACCGCAACTTGGGGCATCCTACAAGTGGTGAGCTCATGAAGCTTCTGGAACGTCAAGGAGCAAGCGCCGAGATGATTCAAGGTGCCAAGGAGCACCAGTGCAACACCTGCGATTTGCACAAGAGGCCGATTGGACATCCAGTGTCTTCCGTTCCACGGCCGACACACTTCAATGATCGAGTTCAAGCTGACACTCTTTGGGTGCATGTCCCAGGTCGCAGAAAGGCCACACCGGTGCTCATGATGAGCGATGCCACAAGACTTCTTGCAGGACGAGAGCTTCGAACTGAGTCCACTGAGGAGTTCATCAAGCAGATGGAACGTGGATGGGTCCGAAGTTTTGGCCCGATGAAGCGACTCTTTGTGGATGAGCATCGGGCCTGGTGTTCAGATGGCATGCGACAATGGTGCACGGAGCAAGGAGTGGAGCTCAAGATCAGCCCTGGAGAAAGCCACACTCGCTTGGCTATCTTGGAGCGACGGCATCAAGTTGTTCGACGAGCACTGACTGCCTTCCTCACGGACAACCCTGCCATTGCTCAGACCCCTGAGGCGATGATCACAGCACTTTGCTACGTGATTCCTCAGGTCAACAGGATGCCAAATGTCTCAGGGTACTCCCCGGTGCAGTGGGCCATGGGATATACACCCCACATACCGGGCTTGCTGATGGAGGAGCAGATCACCCCAATCCACTTGGATCCCACTGAAGCCTTCAAGGAGAAGTTGGAACTGCAAGCATCAGCTGCCAAGGCCATCACCGAGGCCAACATCGATGCTCGACTTTGCAGAGCTCTTCTCAGGAAGTTTGTGGGTCAGCCCTTGGTCCTCAACTCAGGCGACAGATGCTACTACTGGAGAGATGGACCTGCAAACGGCCCCAAGCTTCGATGGCGTGGACCTGCAGTGGTGGTGATGAAGGAGACATCAGAAGCTGGACCTCATGCTGACATCTACTGGTTGGCTCATGGCACAACTCTACTTCGTGCAGCCCCAGAACATGTTCGCCCAGCAATGCATCCTGAGAACGATGAATCCAGAGCCATGGACTCCATCGACCGTGCCAAGCTGGCCTTGATGAAAGTCCGCAATCGCGGTGTGACGCACTACATCGACTTGCCAAAGTCCAACAAGCGCAAGCGAGAAGAAGTGGCATCAGAAGATGAGGCGGAGGAGCTTGACCACGAGATGGGCGACTTTGAGGCCGAGCCCTTGCAAGATCGATGGCAAGCTAGTGATGATGGAAGGACCTGGACCAGGATCCACAACCAAGGACGACAACAACTCTTTGTGCCGGACCTGCTCTACGACGAGGTTCCCTTCCACCTGTTCACCAATGAGCGCGTCACCCACATCCGCAGAGGTGGACCCAATCCTGAGACTTTGGTGGTGCGAGATGAATGGAACGGTCCTGATGCTGACCGGAGGATGCACTACAGTTGGACGGGGACAACAACCTTTGTGGTGGACGCTGGCTTGCAGACCAGCGATTCAGATGGGGAGATGCGACAGCTCTTCAGCGGAGGTGGACCCACTTGTGGCGGCGCTGGTGGACCAGATGATGATCCAACTGCCCCCTTCAGAGGACCGCCATCAGTGTCTCCGAGCCCGAGCATCGCCGACGATGAGGACATGCGAGGAGCTGATGGTGGAGGCCCTTCAGACAATGCAGCAACACAGGCCATTTTGGCCGAACCCATGGATGATGGACAAGATCAACGAACCCTGCTGCCCACACCTGCTGGCAGTGTGGTGGAACCGATGGAAGAACCACCAGGCCAACAAGCTACACCACATGGACGACTACCTCCACCTGCACTACTTCCTGAAGATCAACCTTTTCCTGTACAACCTCAACAAGCCCCTCAACCTGCTCAACCAGCACAACCTTCTCAAGTACCTCCACAAGCTGGCCGACCGAACTTTGAACAACAACGACGACGACATGAACAACAAGAGGCAATGGTCCTACCACGAACGTATGGCCCTGCTCCACGGACTTTGCCCAGAGTGACACCCTATTCAGAACGACCTCTACATGATGAAGAAGATGGCCAACTCTCCTTCACGGTGGACCTCAATGAGAAGACCAAGTTGCCCAGAGGATGGAAACATGAGCATGGCCACATGGTCCTTGACGACAGTGTGATGGATGCCTGGGAGCTCAATGGCAACTACCTGACCCGACGTCACTATGCCCCTAGGCAGCAGGACTATATCCCGGATGAGGACACCTGCCCTTTGCCATTGCACTTCCTGGACAAGAAGAAGGTGGTCAGTATGGGGAACTGTCTGTTCCGTGAAAAGTGGAAGAGTGGCAACCTCAAGAAGAAGTATGCCAACAACCTGTGGACTGGCTACACGCGCTTCAAGATCCTCCCAGCTTGGCGGAAGCAAGCGAAGGAGCTTTTTCAGCAGAACTTGGAGCAGTGCTATGCCCAGGAGCCGAGCAACCAGCCCCTCAACGAGCGCTACATGAGCCTTGAGGACAGGATGGCCTTCAGAAAGGCAAAGATGAAGGAGCTGCAGTCTTTCTTTGACAACTCCGTCTGGCAATTTGACCAAGGACAAGGAGTTCCAGATGACCGCATCTTGAAGGCGAAGTTCATCCTTGGTTGGAAGAAGAACCCAGATGGCTCTCCCAGGGCAAAGGCCAGATTGGTTGTTCAAGGTTTTCGTGACCCAGATGCCCTGAATGGATCTTTGTCAACGACGAGCCCTACATTGACCAGACTGTCAAGGGGATTGATCCTTACAGTGGCAACTATGCTGGGCATGGAGCCGTTCACAAGTGATGTGAGCACAGCCTTCCTGCAAGGCAAGGGCTTCAAGGCTGATGGGACGCGTGAGATATGGGTGCGCCTTCCCAAGGATGCCGAAACCATCTTGGGGATTGAGCGAGACAGCGGAAAGTTGATGAAGTTGGTGAAACCCATCTATGGCCTTTGTGATGCCCCACGTGCCTGGTATGAGGAAGCCACAGAGCGTATCCTGAAGATTGGCAAGGGTAGCATCATACAACACCCTTTGGATGCCTGCCTGTTTCTGGCCTTCGACCAGGATCCTCATCAAGCTCATGCACTTGGAGTGGAACCGCAACTGATTGGCATGTTTGGCATGCATGTGGATGATTTGTTTGGGTGCCTGATGCCCAACAATGAGTACGCCACGCAGCTCCAGAAGTCCCTCAAGGAAGTCTTCAGCTTTCGTGAATGGCTGAATGGAGATCATCTTGAATATTGCGGCTGCCAGGTGGACAAGGTCAACAACAATCACTGGCGACTCCACCAGGAGAAGTACCTGCACAAGCAAAAGCCTATCAGCATCTCCAAGGAGCGCAAGAATCAAGAAGATCTTCCAGTGACCGAAAGCGAGAGGACACAACTACGTGGGTTGATTGGAGCAATGCAATGGCCTGCGACACAGTCCTCACCGCATTTGCAATCACAGGTCTCTATGCTGGCTGGCGATGTGACCAAGGCCACAATCAAGACGCTGAATTCAGCAAACAAAACCCTGAGGATGGCGAAAACCAATGCAGATGTTGGATTGGAATACCGCTACTTGGGGGACAAGAACGACCTTACCATGATTGCCTATAGCGATGCCTCCTTTGCCTGCCGCAACGACCTTAGCAGCCAAGGCGGCTACATGCTTGTGATGGTGAACAAAAAGGTTGCAGAAGGCGAAGAAGGATGGTACAATGTGTTGGACTGGAGAAGCTGGAAACTGCCACGAGTGGCACGCTCAACCTTGAGCGCTGAGAGCCAAGGCGCTTCAGAAGCAGCAGATGCACTCCTTTTTGCATCTACGTTTTGGAACCTCATTTGGTCCCCATGGTTGGTTCTGGACGATGTGAACACAGCCAAGCTTCTCAATGCACCTCGCTTGGTGGTCGACGCCAAGGCCCTCTATGACCTGCTGATCAAGGAGGAGGTGCAAGCTGGAACAGGAGCTGATAAAAGAACCACAATTGAGGTTTTGGTCACCCAGGACAAGTTGAAGTGTTGCGGAGCCCTCACTTCATGGGTTAGCTCTGAGCTGCAGTATGCAGATGGCTTGACGAAGGAATCGGCAGCCCAACTTTTGGCAGACCGTCTTCGGAGTCATCAGACCCGCTTGAAGTCCGACCTGACCTTCCAAGCTGCCAAGCGCAAGACCGCCAACGAGCGCAAGAAAGGAGCTGAGATGTACGCCATCAAGAAGCCTGGAAGGGCGATGCACGCAATGTTCGCTGGCTTGCTGAACGTGGTGAACGCCCTGGACTATGACAACAAGACCAACAACACCGAAACAGAGATGCCCAATGTGAAAACGCAGAACCTGGCCGAGCACTACTTCCTGGACACCTTCAAGGTCCTCTTCGTGATCTTCACGACGATCCTGATGTTGCTCTTCGGCTGGGCAATGCTGCGTCGACGACTATGTCAACGACCTGATCTACGAGAACCTGAGGAAGAGACAGCCGCCTCGACGGTCACTCGCACAGTGATGACCCCTGAGGATGAGGCGACCTTCCGCGCCATGTATGAGGAGGTGATGACTCTTCGAGAATATCGAAAGTCTTTGGAGGCCGAGCTCATGAAGAAGCAGCAGCTGACAATTGATGCCCGAGATGAGGCTCGCCTTTGGAAAGCGAAATATGAGCACCTGCGCCCCGACTTCGTGCGCATGCTGGAGGACACCGAGGTCTACATCCTCCCTCACAGCAACATATGGCACGCTGACCTGAACTGCGTTTTCGGAAGAACAGATGGGCAACAGACCATCTATGGGTGCCAAGCCTGCCGATTGTGTACAAAGCACATAGGCAAGGCAGACTATGATTTCAAGGGCGATGCTCGTGCCTCAGCCCCACCTGGAGCATGGCGAATTGGCGATTTAGCCGATGCACGTGTGAGGGGATCGTTCACTTGAACTTTTGATTCCTCTTACTTTTTCACCAGTGTGATTTGTGTGTCACACAAAGACATAACACGTCACCTATCTTTTGTTTTCCTCCCCGCTGCCTGGATCATAGGGAGGGATTTGCTCTCGCGAGACATGGCCAAGTGGCATACGCTGTGCGGCCCGTGAAAAGGCCGTTTGCCGCTGACTACAGCCGCACTTCGAGAGGCGGTGCTTGGAGTTGGGATTTAGGCTTTGCCGCTGCCCAACCAACATTATCCTATTTTATTTGGTGGGACCTTTGCACCTCAGAAGCCAGGCAAGTTGAAAGTTGAACGTATCAATTGCTCAAGGGTGGATTTCAGATGGTCTCAGCTTGGTAGGACATTTGCTTTTTTCAAACGAATGGGCTCACTACCAGCACCAGAGAGGATTTACCTGTTGTAAATGATAGATTTGGTGGAACCAGAACTTGGTGACTTGTTTCCAGGAGGCAACGGAGGGATGCTCATCGCAGAAACTGCCCAAGGTGCTCAGATGATGCCATTTCAGTTGCACGAGCAGGAATGGAACAACATGTTGATAAAGAATGCACATCATCTGGAGTTTGTGTTTTTTTTTGGTCGTTATATTCTGAAATTTTCAGAGGGGCTATTAAGATCCTATTTTGGAGCGAGATATTGATATCAAGCCGTGGGCAATCACTATAGTCCCTTCAGACTACCGCTTGGAGAAATTGTGAGTGTCGCACCCGCACAGATGTGTTTTGTTTGGAAAAATAATCCCTTTCTGTTGATCCAACCTTCGATTCACCACTGCCTACCCTGAGAATATGGTTTGGTGCATTGGTGGTTTGCCCAGCCCGCAGCATGGCAGGTGCAAAGCAGCACCCTGAGCGATACATCTGTCACCAGCATCACATCCAGCAGCTCCTCCAGCACCAGCTTCAGCAGCTCCAGTAGTTCCAGCACTTCGAGCTCCAGCAGTTCTTCCACTTCGACCAGCACCACTTCAAGTTCCGCAAGTAGTAGCAGCACCAGCAGCAGCACATCCACATGTATTGATTGCACTACCTCCACCACTTCAAGTTCTTCAAGTTCAAGTTCGATGAATTTGTTTGTGCCACATGTTTGGATCAACGGTGTCCTGACTTTTCGTTCCCAAAGTGCCACGGAGCCACAGGTGGGCCTGGCGGTGCGGGAGACCTTCCGCCGTTTGGTGCGTCCCGAAGAGGTCCGCGTCAGCGGCGTCACGGCCCTGGCGACGACGTCCACGGCGTCCACGGCGTCCACGAGGTGGCGCGCGGCCTTCGGCGTCGGCGAAGCCACGGCGGCCGCAGACACCGCGCGCGCCACGCTGCAGGCGCTGGCGGAGCGGGTGGCAGCGGCACGGGCCGCGGCCTTCACGGCGGAACTGGAGAATCAGCTGATGGACGCAGGTCGTCACGGTCCGTGGAAGATGGTGGAAGATGGTGGAAGTGCAGTTTGGGTTGCTGATGGTTGTTGTATGTTGTTGTATGTTGTTTGTTGTTCTTGTTGAATGGGAATCACCTTGAGCCGAGAACCCTTTAGATATGTTATTTGGATCTTTGGCTGACAGCATGGAGGCTTTTGGTGCATAGGTGTAGTAGATGGCAACAAGGAGGTCTGCTTGTTTTTGTTGTTGTCACATGGAAGCTTTGGGGGGAATCTGACAGTGGGCAGTTGGATGTGCCTGTTACGATTCGATGCCAGGAAACAAAATTGATAGGCACTTTAGTATTGAAGCATCACATTTGTGGTCACGATGCAAGAGTGGAACCTGTCCAATCCAAAGTCCACTGGGTTTTTGACTTCGTTGATTCGTTGATAATGATAGGGTATAGCCGGATGACTTGAATTGATTCCAGTAGGTAGAGGTTGCAGTTGTTCTGTTTCCTCGTCAGTTGCTGGAGGGTGTATGAATCAATTCTTTTTTGTGATGCTGGAAAAAGCACAGGTAGACTCATAAAAGGTTGGTCATGTCTAGCTCCCACCCTTAAACACTTGAATTCTGATCGTAGTCTTGAGCCATGACATGCACCATTTTGTCAAGAGATGTGAAGAGTGCTGAGCTGTTCCCAGGTGCAACCCCTGGCTCGGATTTCCTGGTTATGGAGCTGACCCTGGACCTCGAAAGTTCCAACACCGAGTCCAGCGGGAACGCCTGGTGGGTCCTGCTGCTGATCTTCGGGCTGTTGGCTCTGGCGATGCTAGTTTTGGTGCTGCTGCGCCGCCGCTGCGGTTTTGGTGTTGCAACGGCAGGGCCGGCAGGGCCGGTCGTGGTATCCAAGGCGCTGTGGGAGTTGGAGGAGGAACGCTGGGAACTGGCCGAAAAGGTCCTGGATACCAAGCCTCCGGTAGTGCCACAGCAATGGACGGCTCAGTGGAGTGCCAATGATGGGGCGTCCGAAACGCGATTTTATGATCTGACCTTCGGGATTGGTGGGAAATTGGAAGGCATCGGAGAAGGTAGAAACGGTGCCTGGCGGCATTGTTGGGTTTTCTGTTGACGTTTTCTCGGGAGCTTCGGTTGATGTGAATTCCATGTCAATGTAACATAATATAACATAATGTAACATAATGTAACATTGTAAACAATCACAGGCCATTCGACTTGCTTCAATGGCAAAACTTCGTTGCAGAGGAACACCCAGATGGAAAGAGAGAACCGGTGATCTGTGATTTCCAGTTGGTCAATCCACCATATAGGGAAACTATACAACTATATGGGGAACATTCGGAACATTCTTAAGTTAGCTGTTCATAGTATGAACTCCTTGGCTCCTCATATGGGCGAGGTACCTGCAAAGTCACCGGTGCATTTGACGTGAACGACGGCAGCGTCAGATGGCGCGAAGTTGCACGAACCGGCGGTCCTGGCGTGGTCGAGTGCTATGGACAGTGGGATGGCATGCGCCCCTTGGCTGCAGCTGTGCCACTGACCGGAAAAAAAACGCGCGGAAACCCAAAGCTATTTTAATAGCAACATTAAGCACCCAAAATTCATCACGGATGATGTAAACCTTGGAATTGCACGGGATTGCTTTAAATTGCCCTTTCCTTGGAGTGGACTGGGACTTACGATGATCGGGATGGGCTTCAAGCAGCCTCTAGAAGGGTAGCAAACTATGGAGTGAAATTTGGTGTCCCAGCTTGCTGGAATGGCCCCATTTTGAAGCACCGATCCTGCAAAGTAGGGGTAGGTTGGAGGATATTGGAGGCTTGATTACGTTTCATCATTTTATCATAATTTTGCAATTTTCAAACTCATACCTCAGCACGTTACTGAAACATGTTGACTAACTAGTGCTCAAACAAAAACACACACGTGCTTCTCAATCGTGCTCCCAAGAAACCTTTACCTTTGTCTATTCTGATCCTCCAGGCATCGACGGTTTCTTCACAGCCTTCGACGTGTCAACGCTTCCGCAGCAGATCGGCCAGGGCCACTTCGCACTCAGCGGGTGCGTCAAAGCTGTAAACGGCGCCGCCAAAGATGTAGCACCGCTGAGCGAATTATCCTCCAACGAAGCGCGCGAAGCGCGCGAAGCGAGGGAGGCGGAATCCGACATGGTGTGACAAAAAAACAGCTGAGAAATTCACGACGTGAATTGAGGATATTGACGATATATAGACATGGTGAGCTTTGCCAAGACCCTTTCCGGCTTGCGTGTGTTTGCGATTCTGAATGAGGCGTGTTATGTTGAGGGTGTTATGTTGCACCAGCTTCAACTACAGCAGGTTTGATTAAGATGCGTTCGGCTTGAAGACCAAATAAGGAGTCCATCTCAGATCATCAAAGAACACGACACAAGAAACGATATTCTTGACATTTTTTCATTCATTCTTCATTCTGTATTTTTTCAAGGCAGCAATTGACGGCTAGCGCAACTCCAACCGCCGCTGCGCAGTTTTGGCCCTTAGGGTTTTCCCGGGAACCGGGCGCCGGCGCAGTGCCGGGGACTGCCGCGCCGCCCCCAAAGGGGGAGGCCTAGGGCCTAAGAAATTGCCATGGGGCATATGGGGCGGTAAATTGATGTCTAACATTTCTGTGCAGAATCAATGAATATCAGTGAATCATTTAAAACATCATTCAACTCTAGATTGTATTTTATCCAATGGGATGCAAAGGTTTCATTGCGATTTCATGGCGCCCTACCAATCCCGATCCATGCTGTGGCAGGGTGCAGCCTGGTGTCCAATGGGAAGCGATGAGCAGGCGGAGGTCTCCATGTCCATGGGCTTGGCAGAGGCCTCAGAGGTACCAGTTCCACTTATTTCTGAGAGGGAAGTCAAATTAAGGATGTGGATAGGATGTGGTGGAATGACTTTGGAAATCGTTGAGCATGGACTCATGGACATCCTATGGATCGATTGACATTTATTCCGAAGCACCAACCGTTCTGTGCTCTGAACGTCCAGATGCAGATCACGCGTATGGGAGAGCCATGGAGAGCCCTTTGGCTCAAGGTAGGGCCATCCGTGGAGAGGTCAGGCCGAAGGGATTTGGAGCCGTTGGTTAACATGCTGCAGCTGATGGTCGGGGTGTCGGAAGCTCAGGCACCTTCAGCTTGGTGTGCTGGGGGGTAGTGTGGCCATGTGTGGCCCATGTGTGGCCCATGTGGCCCACTAGGGAGAGAACTTCCCCACAACAAGGCAGCTGACAAGGCGATCTCTTGAAACTTATGGTTTTTGGCCTTCATGGTATCCCAATCTCATTTTAGTGTCACACTTCGATGAACAGGGTGTAAGTATGCCGTAGCTTGGTTTTGCGTGGGGATGCGACCAAGAAAGGCACTTGATGATGAGATGATGAGTGAGTACTTTCACACCTTCCCCACTCGTGGGCAGGGGATTTGTGGATGGGCAATTGGTGGAGTAGTCAATCAGCCATCAGAAAGGGCCTATGTGCGTCAAAATTGCCTCCTAACATTGCAAATGGATTGATATTAGGACCTGACCGCATTCTGTGCGTTTCACTGTTTCACCCAGTCCCGAGGTTTTCAACCAATTCCACAGCTCAAGAAGTGCGCAAAATGCTTGTTTCGGCTCCAGCCTGGATTTCCAAGGAACCACAAGTACATGCTCGACGATACATGTGAAATAAACTTGAAATAACATGTTCTAAGATGTTCGAACTAACCGATAGGTTGATAGCCTGATAGCTTTCGTTTTCAGTATGCATGATATTCAGGTTATGCGAGCCTTTGGCCAAGTAGATACAGAGACAACTCTTGTCAGTTTTCCAGGCAAAGGGAGCGCCACGGATTTGCAACTGGGTTTGTGGTGTCTGCATTTCTTCAGTTTTTCCAGTCATCTTTGAGGGATATTCCGACATTCCTCCACAGACGAATTTGCTGCATGTCATGCTGTGATGGATGAATCCTCATGAATCCTCAGTCGAGCCTGGTGCTCTTCCTGCCCAACGGCTGTGAATCTGCCGGCTTTTTGCTGGGCTGGTGGCTCCATGACAGTGCCGTGGTGGCCGACGTCTTGCAGGAGGCCAACCCCAAAGTGCCCAGCGCCAGTGCAGCGCCGCGGATCTTGGGCGAACTGCGAGGCCGACGCGTCTGGCGGAAAACGGCCGATCTGAAAACGCCGGAGCGTTGGCTCGTGCTGCGTGGCCAGCCACTGCGGTTGATGCAGCTATGGAAGGATGGGGAGGTCGTGGAAAGCAAGGCAGTGCAGGTGGGGTCCACAAAGAACATGGGATCAGCTGCCAACAATTGGAACATGTTTATGATACAAGTTTCAAGGGTTTGAAGATGAAAGAAAATGGTCACTAGACACGTGCGTATTTTCATGCGTTTTCCTGAAGCAGATCAGTTTCATAGCTCAACAGGCTGCAAGGCCCCCATTTTGAGCTGCCCAGGTCGTGTTCTACGACCGTCGTGCCTCTGGAGTCTTTGGATCGCACTGGACCTCCGGCAGAGCACCGCGAGCGACGACGTCACCAGCGTTGCTGCTGCAGTCTGCTTTGCCACTGTTGGATGCAGCGGCTGAGATGAAGAAAGAAGGCAACAGCTATAGCCCCAAAATTCACAGATCTTGGCAGATTTTTGGTGGTTTTTGTGGCTTGTACCACTGGTTCAGCCGACTGGCTTTGATATTCATACACCCTGTGATGAAGGCGATGGCTCAAGTGGGTTTCGAAGGTAGTGCATTACTAACCCAAGCGGAAGCGAGACTAAGGCTACAATCCAAGTGGGCAAGTAGCTTCACAGTCGCCTCTCAAGGAAAGTGGCGGGACATGAATGAAAAGGATCGACTTCTGTTGTTTTTTTCATTTTCGGTCTGTTGTTTGGATGCATTGCTTGGATTTTTTCTGATGCTTCTCCTCCATTTGCATTGGGATCATCTTCTCCTATACCTTACATCACTGCGGCATTGGGCCTACAGCCAGCAGCTGGCAGCACACTTGGTGCCGTGGCTCATGGGGGCTCCGGCAGATTTCAAGTTGAACCACGAGTTGACGTCCTTCGCCGGGAGCCTCTTCCTGTCGATGTTCTCCTTGTGGGATGTCCAGTTGTCACCCGATTTGCTCGAAGCTTTGGCCGTTTCTGCGCGAATTTTTGCATGTTTTTGTGCCATGATGGGAGGATCTATGGCAGTGGCACTGGTGATGGATGTCCTTGCGATCACCTCGTTGCCACTGTTTGTTGCATATGTGGGAACCTGCCTCTGTTGGAGAATGGCCACTAGATCGCTGTACAGCCTTTGCCTCCTATTCCAGGGTTGGAAGTACAACATCCTGCGATCACGAGTGGATCATCACAACTTTTCCTTGGATCAGCTCTTGATTGGCGTGATCCTGCTGTCCATTGTGGTCTTCCTTCTGCCATCTTTGTTTATGTTTTACACCTGCTTCACTGCTGCCTGGTTGCTGGTGCTGATCATTCATGGCCTCCTAGGCCTGCTGGTGGTGCTTTGCAACTCCCAACCCATCTGCTTGCTGTTTCTGTTCTTCCAGGCGCCCTGGCACCATGGAGAATCCTTGGAGATGACCAGATTGACACAGGCGGAGGCGGTGCCTCCTGTGCACCCGGTGCCCCCGGTGCCCCATCTCTATCTTCGCCTCAGCTTGCGACCGGCCAAGGTGCTGGATATCTTCCAACCACTGGCGACTGCATGGCGAAGCTATCTGCAGAACTGGATGCCAAAGAGCTGCTTAAAGCGCTTAGTCTGCGGACAGGTCTGGCCCATTCGAAGTCCAATTGCCGTAGAAATGACTTTACCAAGGGCCAAGAGCCTGGAGAGTTGAGTTGGCGAGCCGCAGGTTGGAACCCTACAAGCACGAGCAAACATGCTAGGACCTGCTAGGACCTGCTAGGACCTAATATCTGGGAAGAATAGAAGATAGAACATCTTGGTGGCTTCTTTTTGGGGTTCCAGTTGTGAACTTCGGATGTGACATCTGATTCCCAGCTTCAAAGTAAGCTTGGAGGATCCTGAGCTATGTGGCCCAATCGGCAAGATTTCACGGCCAAGGATCGACATCACCGAAGTTAAAAAGCACAATGTCACCCTCACCCTCCGCACAGGATAATGCAAGAGCCCTGCAAAACTGTCCCGACTGCATCCGACTGCTGACTTTTCTCAATTTTCTTGGGGCGCCTGTGTGCCAGTTGCTGGTCAGAAATTTTAACAAAACAGATTGCATCATACTACAATATTGCAATTGTTCATGGCACACCCCTCCCAATGGCCAAGGTCATGCATCTATGAGGAAAAGGTCGAACGATGAGAATGACCAGCGTTCACAGGGCCAAAAGATGCGCGGTGCTGTGTTTTTTTTGTGACTTGGAACATCCCCAAGTGGAATTTCAGGGAGAAACTTTGCTTGGAGTCCTGCCAGGACAAGCCAGGACAAGCCTGACCGCAATTTAGTGAAATGCAACTCGTCCTACTGAGGATGCGCAACTGGACTATGTGAGTAGAGCAGGGGCGCTCAGTTTCAGTGGTCAAGGGCGGAAATTGACTGGCTTGGATTTCAGGTCCAATCGTTTCACACCACTGCTTCCTCAATTGTACTTGAAGAGCGGGTAGATTGATGTAGATTGGATTTTGTGCATTCTTGATTCTTGTCCTTTTTTCAAACAGCGCCGCATTCAAAGCCATGCTACAAGTAGAATTCCATTGCCGCAGCTTGTAGGAAGGCCCATTTTTGGACAAGCAGTTAATAGAATGACAACTGCGAAAACAGCAAGGACAGCAATGCAAGAGAAGAAACAGTAACCAGAAGAAAAGAATGAAAAAGTCACAACCACCAGCAGTAGCCACAACAACTACAAACAGCGGTGTAGGCCCAATGGCACAATGGCCTCGTCATCAGCGACAAAGCGAACAAACAAAAGATTGGCTAAGCTCTGTATTTGGTTTTGACTCTGAGCCAAACAAAGTGCGTGACCCCAGCCCAACTCCCACAGACCCAACCAGAAAAATCATGAGACAACCCGAGCCCAACAGAAACGTTCGGTCGCAGTTCCAGCGTTGCCGCCATGTTGATGGACGACCAGGGCCAGGCTGCAGTGGTTGGTGTCACTCACGGGTTGTGGCTGGACGATTCGGATTTTGTGGCCAGTGATGCCAGTGATGCCAGTGATGCCGGCACCGGTGATGTGCCCGTGGAACGCCTGGGTTTCCCCACAGATTGGCCAGCGGCCTACAGCTCAACGGGCTTGAAGGGCTTGATTGGGAAGCGTGGAAAACTCCCCGCCAAACGGGTGGCATTGGCAGGGGAACCTCTGGAAGAAGAGAAAGCTGAGATTTTTTCGAAGAAAGTCTTAGAAACGGTCTCTTGGAATTGATTTCAATAGGAGGATTTTCCAGACGCTGTTCAGATGATCTCTTTCTCAGCCCTTTTTGATTTTTCAGGACTTGGGAATTTTCCCCCTAATTTTCCCAGTCATTTTTCCGATGTGCTGGATCTTCTGGTTTCCATGTTAAAAAAACACCAGGGCTCCAGTCCAGGTCTCCTTCCATCCTTTGCAGAGCTTCTCCAACGCCCTGCGTGCCGTGGATGTGGCCTCGGTTCCGCTGTCCGTGGTGCGCGGCTGGGTCATCTGGGAACTGCTGGAGGAGCAGCGCGGCACAGGAACGGGCGGTTTAAAGGATCCAAGGATTGGAACACGTGGAACACGTGGGAACACCATGGAAAAGGTATGAAAAGGTCCATAAGGCCCACATCAATTTAGGGGTTGTGACATGTTGTGACAATGGTTTCCTGGAGATGATCTTTCAGTCACTCTATTGGCACCAGTTTGTTTTTCTTCCCGTCTCGATGGTTTCCACGGCTTAAGCCACCCATCTTCCCAACATCGTGCTGTCATATCTGCCCCGTAAAAAACTAGATGCAAGCACCAAAAACTGGCATGTCAAGAAAGTTTATTATCCAATTTCAAAACCACACTTTTTTGTTCGAGGCGTTGTTCCATATTCACTTGCATCTCCAATTTTATTTTTAAATACGTGGAAGGGCACCAATTTTTGACAAGGTGTTGTTGGTGAAACTGGTATTTCCGTTGGTCAAATCCCTGTCCAATTTGTATGTATCGTATCGCAAATTAGATCATGCCATAGTCACTAGAACATCATTGAACATCATTGAATATGATATATCATTGAGTTTTTCATGGATGAACAAATTCGTTTCCAGTTTTCACTACCCCGTTTCTCCGTGGGATCTCCGTGGATCCGTAGGACGTTTCCTGGCGCAGCGCTACTGGTGGAACGAACGCCGCGACGGCCGCTGGCTGGACGTGACGCCGCGGCCGTCGCCGTCGTCCGCGCAGCTGCTGCTGGTGGAGCCCATGGAGCCGGCGCCGACGAAGACGCTGCAGGCGTTGAGCCCAAAACAGGCGCAGCTGGCGGCGAGGCCGAAATGGGGAAATGGTGTGAAATGGCCATAATGAGGTGGAAAATGGATGAAAATGGTGGGTGAAGATCACTTGAATACTTGAACCATCTTGAACTTACTTGAACATCCCGATCGCATGTATTTCTTGTTTTCGGCAATTTTGAAGTGCTGAGAGGTACCTGAAGGAGAAGTTTCCACACTTCAAAGGGCCAGAGCAGTTGGAGCCGAAGACCGAGGTGAAGGAGGTGAAAAAAATGGATGTGAAAGAAGTGAAACCGCGGGAAGTGAAGCCGACAGTTGAGAAAGTTGAGAAAGTTGAGAAAGTTGAGAAAGTTGAGAAAGTTGAGAAAGTTGAGAAACCGCAAACCAAAGCTCCGACTTTGGATTATTCGAAGTGGAGCAACATTGTGGATTCCGATGACGAGGAGGATCCTAGGGTCGTGGATGAAGATGTTGGGGTGAAGGATCTGGCTGAAGGTGCCAAGGCCAAAAAGGAACCGCCCATCCCAGACTATCTGCTGGGTAGCACTGGTGGTGGTGGTGGAACTAACTGCCTCACCAGCATTGTGAAGATGTTGGATTCAGAACAGACCCAGGAAAATGTGCACCAGTTGCTGGCTTGCAGTTTCAATCCATTTCATTTTTTGCAAACAAAGTATCACTTGTAGTTTCGGGAGACTATACTGACTAGAATGACTAGAAACAATCACAACTGACCAAGTGGCATGAAGATTTTTGAGGAGACATGTGCATTACTGTACTGTACTGCATTTGGTGTCTGAGAGTGTTGACCAATGAAGCCTCAGTCAAGAAATCCATGGCATGGGAATATGGCTGTTAAACGCAGCTTGGAAACCAGCTTCAGACCAGGTTCCAAGATGAGGAATCCCGGAAGATGGTTAACGGTTAGTAAGTGGCCATAAGTGGCCTATGGCTCCTTAACCAATTCTTCTCAGTCTTTCCTGAGTCTTTCCTGAGTCTTTCCTTCCTTTGTTTCCCTTGGTTCTCAGGTTGGCGCAGGTTTTTGGGCGCAGCTTCCATAGCGCCATGTTGGACGCGGAACGCCAAGAGTTCTATCGGAAAGCGTTGACGACGTTGACGACGTCCGTTCCCTCGGCCTTCGTGGTGATTCTGGGGCTGGGCTCGGTGCTGCCGATGCTCACGGCGAAGCAACACTTCCAGGGAATGCTGCTGGAGAGCTCCGAAAAACTCGGGAAATTGGCTGAAGAGCTGTTGACAAATAATCAAAATGAGAACTTTGAGGTTGGAATTGTGAAGGCACTGGATGATACTGGTAAAAACATCAGCCATACTTTTAAGATCTTAACTTTTTATTTAACGTTTTTTTTTTTGATCAACACTGGTTTAACATGATTTTCACATGTTTTCAAACATGTCAACTGGTCGGATCTTGAGGATGAAGAGTCCATCCTGGAAGTCCTTCGGCCAAAGCTGGTGCGCCACAGTACGGTGGTGGTGCTGACCGAACGCATGGCGCACGACTTGTTGTCCAATGGCATCGTGCCCTGCTGCCTCAGCTGCCACAAGGCTGCTGTTGTGGCTGGCAATGAGGAAATTTCCGTTTTGAATAGAAGAATTAAGTGAAGGGGTTGGGATCAAACAGATTTTTCTGATGCTTCATTTCTGCTAGGTTAAGCATGGTTAAGCATGGTTAATCCATGTTAACCAACTTTGATCACAGTACTTTTATCAACAACTTTCATCCCTGGAACCCCCGTGAAGCGATCTCTTCAGCTTGGATGGCTCAGCCAGGCGGTCAAGAAGTTGTTGCCCTCCGCGGAGATTTTGCACATCCCCCAGACCGTTGAGCTGTTAGCCGCCCCTGGGGAAATACGCTCAGATCGGCTGGGGAGTTTTGACATCAGGCAGTGGGGAGTGGGTTGGTACTGCTGGAACCGATGAAAAAATGAACCCACATTTTTATGGCCATGGAAAACCAATGAAAACCATGATATACTATGAGATTTTGCGGCAACCATGGGCAACCCTTTTTTTGGGCGAACCCACGCAGGGGGATATGGCTAAATCCAACCGCTTCAACATTGATAGGCCCGATATAATGGGCATGGTGGCGAGCCATGGGCCATTGCCCCCTTGGTGAGGCCCTTCAATGCGCTGAGACATACCTCTTCTAATGAAAAGGCAGACTTTTGGTGGTGGCCTGTGCGAAGCTGGGTGAAATCTCAGTCAGATTTTGGTCAGTCAGCATGTTCACTGATTGATTTTGTGCTTTTTAATGATTTTGGGGTTTCATGGAAACAGAAGCCAAAGTTTTTCAGCACGAAAATGGACCAAATGATAGATTTTTCACCCAAACATGTCAATTCAGAACGTTGATCAAAATCTGATGTGCTCAGCCAAAATTAGGTATGGACAACCAGCAGAACACCATATGTTCCATCTTGGGCCCGTCCAAAACGCTGTGCGGCTTCGACTTCCAACGTGCTCCGGAAATTGGACTGGAAGAGGTCAGAAGACCGTTGAAGCTGCAGGCTAGGCACACCCGGATTGAGAGCAGACCAAACCTCTGAAATTGAGAGTTTCTGATGTTTCTGGCGCGTAGATTTTTTTGTAGCTATGAAATCACAGAAAAAATTGTTTGGGAAACCCTGGGAACCTAATGGGAACCTGCTGAAATGGCAATTGGGACCCTGCAATCTTGGAGACATGGCCGTTTCATCTATCGCAGGCCACTCAGCGGGGACGCTGCAACTGCGCCTGCCTCTGGTGGGTGGCGAAATTTCGGCACTTGGAATTTTCCACACGTCCGGCCCTAGCCGCTGGCAAGGACGGCAAGGATGGCAAGGATGGCAAGGCCAAGAGGTCGGAGTGGAAGCAGGCCATCCACTACTTGGCAGGAGAAACAGCTGCTATGGATAGCTATGGCAGATTTTTTTCCATCAAAATGGATCAGCATGGCATGAATGTTTTTTTCCTATATTGACAATGGGGCATGAATGCTTTTTTTTTAATGCTTTTTCCCTATATTGACAATCGGATGATGATACAAATTGACATCAATTGTCTAATGGGATGGATGCCAATTGACTAAAATTTCTGGGATATGGGCGGCTGGGTTGAAAATGGTTGAAATATGTTGAAATCACCTAGGCTCTTTTCCCTGGTGATGTCATCGAAGTGCTGGTCTCCATCACTCCCAGATTCACCTTCCGGATGATGCAGCAGAGCCCCATGTCGGTTGAAGCGCCGATGTGGGTGCAAGCACCAACCAACAGCAAATTTAGTGCAACCCTCCCGATTTTGCCATATCATTTCCTCATGATGACGGATTTGGAGCGTTTGGACGTGTACCAAAGAGCCTTGAAAGCGACCATCAAGCAGCAAGCAGCCAAGCTTGGGCGACGCGTGCGGGTGTTGGACGCTGGCTGTGGCATTGGATTGCTGGGATTGAGCCCAGGCTGAAGTTCAGTGAAGTTCAGTGAAGTTCTCAGTGAAGTTCTCAGTGACCTCTTTCTGCGTCATGGGGTGGGGTTCGTTGGCGGGGTATATGTTGCAGCTGAGTGGGATCATTGGGTTTGACTCGCCCCAATCTTAGATTCATTTCCCGTTGTGCCCGCGTTCATTTCCGTAGGAAGTTTCTGCTTATAATTATCGACAGAATTGTGGTTCGCAATATTGTTGCACCTAGGTGTTGCAACTTCTCCTCGTTCTTCATTGGTTATCATCCCCACCAGTGTGTTTTTTTGAAGGCCAGCAATCTCATATGATATCTCCAGTCTTCATTCCTGCCCACTTCAGCCAACCCAAGCTTCAAGCATTGACCATTACCGATGGATGTGGAGTCCGTGTGGAGTCATCCCGATTATTTTCACACATCTATTCATATTTTCTGTATCTATATTGTCTTTTCATTTTTTCTCATGTGCGGCATGCATTCCTTATATCCATAAACCCAAACATTGAAACAAAATAACGACACATGTATCGGCAGAGGAACTAGCTGAGCTGAGAATGGGAGATTTTTGGATGTATTCTTCCTTGGTATCTGGGTTTTATTTATTCATTATAGTTTGTGGTATTTCGAAAAATGTGAATATACGTGAATCTATGTAACCTATATTCCCCATTAAATTTTGCATGATTGAGGGTTAATATCATATCCCATTCATTTTCCATCTATGTATTCATAATGACCAGTCATATTCCATTGTTGATGGTTATTCACCATTATATATTCTGATATTGATATCCTCCACCATATATCGAATATGGTTAATATTGCTGGTTATTCCATTCAGATCCAATTTTTCAATATACCGTGAACATAACACCTTTATATTATCCTCAAACAATATTATATATCATATCCTCAACCATAGAAATATCATGAATTATCAATGTTATATTATATATCTCTCTAATTCATGATATAAAAATTAAATAATCCTATATTTCATATGTCATTGTTGAATATTATATACCATATTTATCATGGTATACCTATAATTATCAATGTTATTCATGAATAATCTGGGTTGATATTATCCTCAACCATAGAAATATCATGAAGAAATATCATGAATTATCAATGTTGTATTATATCATGAGATGCTATATCATCTAATTCAACCATATTTCTATAGCATGTTATTCATCTATCATTATAATCCCTATAATTATCAATGTTATTCATGAATAATCTGGGTTGATAATGAATAATTATTCATCCATAATTTACAGGAAACCCCTATATTTGATGGTAAAAACCATGGTTTCCTCTAGATTTTCCCTTAAACCAATCCAATGATCAACCATCCTCCATCTGAGGAGCGCAGCCCTGGAAGGCGCCGAGGTCTGGCTCTGCGAGGCGGTGCCCTTGATGCGCCACGTCTGCCGCGAGGTCGTGGCGGCCAACAGCGGCCTGGTGGCGGAGAAACGAGGCACGGGGGGGCTGTTGGGAGTTGGTGGAGGGCTATCAGTGGATACGTACTGTATTGTACTGTATATATATATATTATATAGTACACACACACATACATATGCATAAAACAAGGTAAAATAATGAATAATCATGATGGTGGAAATACATTTCAAGGATACTTTGTTGTTCGGAAGATTTTTGATAGCGAGAATTCCTGGTTTTGCATGCTTTCGGTGGATGTTTTTGGTCTTTTCGATCGATGAGAGTTTTGGATTGGATGGCGGGGTGGGGATATGACTGGGGTGGAGGATTGGTGATTTGTTTTCGGGTACCCAATGGACATGTCCCAGTCAACAGTGAATTCATCCAACACATCCAATTGCGCGCTCACCGGCACCACTGCCTTTGATAATCTTTGATAGCACAGGATAGCATGGCCATAGCTTACGCTGTGTAGTAAGGACACAATGTAGGAAGGGAATGACCATGGGTGCTTGGTTTTTTTTGGTGCCACCAGTCAAAACTAAGTGTAACATGGCCAAGTATCATGGCCAGTATAGTATGGATAGATGTATGTATGTATGTGTATCTTTCATAGGTGAGGTGATTGATGGGTGGGGGCATTCATTGGATTGGCGGACCGGACATTTCAAAGGAAACCATATCTTTTCCATCAATTACGTAAATTACATAGTGCTTAAAGGGAAAAATCAGGAACCCCTAAATTTGCGTCATAATGTCAGGATCTCATCAATTCTCATCATTCATAGCGTCATGTCAGTGTTCCTGGGAAGAGATAGCCGCCATACCAGTTGGAAACCCCAGGACTTGTGCAGCTGTTGCCGCCAATGATGTCCACGCGACTTCATACGGAGGAGGGGCGGAGGGGATGGGTTTGCCAAGGCATTAGGACGATGCCCGCCATCTTAGGTAAACATATATCTTTATATAGATCAGATATAGACAGGAAACGTTAACATCAATATGTAAATCTATATAAGTATATTCATGTGTAAATCATTTGCATATATACTTATATGATACTGATACTGATGCGATACTTATACGATTTTTATATGATATTTACATGATTTCTATTGAAAAAAAGGGGCCATCTGTTTTTTCGCCACCTCAGGAGGTGCCGAACTTCGACATCGTAGTCTCTGAGGTCATGGACCTTTGGTGCTTGGGTGAGGGCATCATCCCCACCATGCGCCATGCGCATAAGAAGCTGCTGGCGCCCAATGGTGTCCTGTTGCCGGGCAAGTTGCGGGTTTATGTCCAGCCCTTGGAACTGTCGCTGTGGAGAGAGGTCCGGCAAAACGTGGCAAAATGTGGCACATGGCAAAAGTTAAAGATCTTCAAAATGCGAATCAAGTAGGTTGAAACGTGGTTGGATTCTGTGGTGAATTGGGTCTATCCCCAGGATCTCTTCAAGGAACCCAGAAGTTTGACTTTCAAGGAACTTGTAGGAATTTCCCGGAAAAAGTTAGCAGTCAATGTCAGCAAATTTTGTTCCAGGTGTTTCCCCAGTGTCACTTTCAGCAGGTGGAGGAAGGCAACCAGGTGGATTTGCAGCCGCTGTCGCAGCGTTTCCGCAGCAAATTCTCTGCCCTGCGCATCGATCAGTTCCCTCATCGCTATCTCACTAAGGAGCCATGCGGAGCATGTGTGGAGATTTTACTGGCGCTAGTTACTGTATACACTGTATACTTGATAATTCTAACCAATTAGATGGTGATTGATGGATAGTTGATTGTTATGATTATTATGGTTGTTATGATTGTTACTTATGGTTGTTAATTATCGTTGTTATGGTTGTTGTGGTTGTTGTAGATGATATTGACGGCGTCAAGGTGCCTCTACGTGCGCATGGTTCTTCTGGTTGATGGATTCTTCGATTCCATTGATGATTGTTGGTGGCGTTGACGGTTCATGCTTTGCGCTGATGGTTTCTGTGTTAGATGGTTGTTGATCACCAGGCTGTTGCTTTGCTGAACCTATCAATTTTGAGATATGTACTTTGATATTCACAAGCAAACAACTACAACTGCCTATAACTAACAACATCTGGCAGCCACCCCCAGACCTGCTCCCGTTTCAGCTGTTTTTTTTCGCAGTTCGCAGGAGCCGATTTTGGCCATGGAAATCGACCTGGCGAATCTCCCAGCGCAACCCGCGGAGGGCGAGGCCAACATCGAGGGAGGGGTGAAACTCTGCATCCGCATGGGAAAGAAACCCGCCTTGAGCGCCAAGGCCAGACATGGCCACCTGGGTCCACAGGGCAGGATGCTGCAGGATGGTGGAGGAAAACCTGGGTGTTCATCTTGTTTTACCGGGATAGGATTGGTGGTTTCATGATGAATCGTGACAATTGATGACAATTGAATAGTGCTGGGGCAGTTTCGGTATTTCGGAACTGGCTTTCGATGTTTGGAACATAGGCAACCTAATTCCCATTTCTGGTAAATTCAAGGATGCCGTTTTTTTCTTGTTTGGTAGCCTGAATTCTGACTGTTATCTAGATGGTTCTTCTTGAAAGATCTTGAGCCCTGCATTTTGCAGTTCCAAGACCAACTACAGTACCTCGTCAGAGATCAACACCGATCCAGCCAAGATGCAAACCTAGTTGAATTAGAGAAAACCTCGGCAACTGTTGGAGAATTTGGAAACCTCCCCCATCGGCCCAAATGGATCAAATGGATCAAATGGCCCCTATGCCATGGCGCCATGGCTAGGTGGTCAGCTCCAAAATCCATCACCGTGGCATGTTGTCCGGCTACGGCCTCTGGTGGTCAGCGGATTTGGCGGGGCATCAGGTAACCAGTGATCCCAGCAACCCACAACGGAGTTGGAAACAGCTGGTGCGCTGGCTGGATGAACCTCGATTTGTGGAGGAACAGGAGGAGATTCAGGTCACCGTTCAAAAGAATTGATTACATCCACTGTTGTGATTTAATGTTATTTATATATTTTATATTTTCTATATTTAGGTACATGTTACATGGTTTTCACTCCACATTTGGTAGGTTCGATGATGTGAGATGCCAATTTTGCTGCTGAATCACAGCTGGTTGAATCCACATCTTGGTTGTTTAAATCACCATTTTTCGTAGATGTTCTATCCATATCCCAGCTTGGCATGACGCTTCCTCTCCCCCTCTCCCCCTCTCCAGGTCTTGACGTGTTACAACGACCAGCAGGTGAATGTCGAGGACATCCACCTAACGCGGGAGATGATTGAGCAGTACCAACAACAACAGGCCGCCACGTTGAACGTGTCCAGCTGAGTTTTGAAGCTAAAACGCTTCCAAGAACTCGATCCCAATTGATCTATTGTGATCTATTGATATTCCAAGGAGCTAAGGTGGATTGAATTATATTGAATAGATTTGAATAGTGTTTTGTTATTTTGTCAGGAAGCGTAGGGCACTTCCATGTTGTTGTGCTTTTGTTTTTGGTCATGTTTGAATCATGGGATCGCGTTTGGAAGCCGAAAACGATATCCTTTTTGGGCCCCTTTTGGGCTGGGCGTTGACGACAAAATAGGAGCTGAACATGGACGGCATATCGCCGCTATCCAGGATATAGTGAGACGTTCAGAACAGATGGGTCAAACATGGGGTCAAACATGGTCAAAAAACTTTAAGTAACACCCAAATGATCCAAATTGGCAAATGGGGGAAGTGAAATGAAGTGAAATGAAGTGAACGTCTTGCCAAAATCATCCAAAATCTGTTGTTTGAATCGGATCTCCCTCGTGCATGGGATATGTCTTGTTCCCCGTTGGCGCTTTGGGTTGCCTTTTGTACATCCCAAACGAAAGAGCTGCTGGAGCCATTGGTGTTCATGGTTGGCGCCATTTCCATCCAATTGGCCGATCTTATCTGTGGTCAGTTTGGCGAATGTTTGGTTTAGGACCTTAGGAATAGAAGGTGGGCCATTGAACAACAAGTACGTGCGCATGCCACACCGATACCTTTTTGCGCACGCATACACGTGCACTACACCCATTGAATGGCGACCCATTCCCAATGACCTCGATGAATTTTGGGGGCCCCATGACATCCCATGACTTGGGAACATGATGAAAATGCCGATGGAGCATGAAATCATATGAAATCATATGAAATCATATGAAATCATATGGAATGAACATATCCAAGAAAATCTATCAAAAATCGATGAAAAACTCACATGAAATCCCCAGTGGTAATCCAAAGATCCGACGGATCTGACGGATCCCAGGTCATTCTGAGCCCGGAGTGGTCCCAGCGGCGGAAAGCTTGCGAGGTGCTGCCGTTTGATGGGACTTTGCCAAGAAATGCATGATATCACAGGGAGGTATGGGAATTGGCATGGACTGTTTTTATGGCTTAAAAATGGTGAAAATATGTTAAAATCATCCATAAAATCCATAACATCAGAGTGATCCAGCATGGGTAGCTGCCGGTTTTCAGCACCGCAGGTGGCTGCCATGATCGGGCAAAAGATGGGCCGAGGTCATATGGAACGACTGGTCACCCGACAGCAGGGTAGTCATGGCTCGTCATGGCTAGTGGGTTGATATATGACGATATCACGGAATTCTCCGACTTCATCCCATTTTTAATGGTGAATCGCCACCAGAACCAGTTACCCAATAAAACATACTCAAGATGTTTCAATAGATAATAGTGGATCCATTGATATGGGATGGGAATGGATGGGAATTCCTGATCTCTGCAGCTCCCAGGCAGGAACTTTGGTGGACGTGGCGCTGATGGATGGGGATGCGGTACCTGCCCAGCTGGGGGATTGGTCATCCAGTGGTGCTGTGGGCGATGACAGACATGGATTCAAATGGTAAGATGAAATCAGATGAAATCAGATGAAATCAGATGATTGAGATTATTGTAATTAATTATGGTAAGTTAGGTCATTGGGTAATTCTGGTTTTGTTCGTTTTGTTGTTGGGTTTGCTACTCAGCGATGCAACATGTAGCCTGACAACGTGAGGATATGATCAGCATGAAAGGGCATTGAACTTGATTTGTGATGTCCATTCTGTCTATTCATTGGCACCGTGGCTATGGGCCAAATGACGAACACCATTGTCGGGCTTGGAACATTCTGACCATCAGCAGTTGCGGCTTTGGCTTTGGGTTTGTGGTGTGTTCGCGGCTCAAACCGTGCCAGCTTTCCAGATAGGATTGGTGGGAACAGCCATGATCCAATGATGATCATGGTTGATCATGGTTGATCAATCCATCCTGCGAGGCCAGACACCCACGCCTTTTCAAATACGAAGAGGGGATCCTGCAGATTCCCATTGGCCAAGAAGTGGCCCCTTTTGAAAATACCTCGGACATCCTCGGACCATGCTACTGACAGAAGACTTTCCCCAAAAAACACTAGACTACTAGACCTTTTTTGGTCAAAAAACTGCACCAAGCTCTTTCGCCATGGCGGAACCGCCAAGTGCGCAGAGCCATGTGAGACTTGGACAAGAATGAAGTTTGCGGAACTTGGACATGGCGTAACCCAGACAAATAGTAAAACTATGTAAAACTATTGGGGATAGCAAGATGGTAGTTGGCCATTGTACAGGAATGGGTTCAAAGGTTCCGAGGCTGAACATGAACCCCACGACAGTGGGTTTGGAAGGTTCGCCGTCAGATGTGATATGATATGGCTAGTTTAGTTTTGAGTTTTGAGTTGTCAAATGTTGTCAAGTTTCAGGTGTGCCTGACTTGGGGGACTGTGGTGACATACTGTCGGTGGTTGACTGTTGGATAGGCCATCACAGGCCCAATTTTTGTCATCACGATCATGATCCTCCCCATAGTCATCTTGATTACCACCACCATCACCGTCCCCATCCCTATGTTCTCAATAGAATCATCACCATCCTTGAGGTTGATGTAAAAATCATGCCACCCTAGGGACCTTGGTCTGAAAACATGATTCCCATTGATCCCCCCTGCGCCGGTCATTCACCATTTCCAATTTCAATGGTTTTCCAGCATTTTTCAATGATTAACATTCAGAAAGTGGACATGAAAACACGGTCAATCTATGTCAAACTGGGGGGTTCTTAAAATGGGGGATCCCCAAGTCACCATAGGTATCCATAGGTTTCAATATACCAAAATGGTCATGACTTGGATGATAAATCATATAAATCATGGGTAGCCCCATGATTTCCGAAACGGAGAATCACCACCCGCGACCCAGGCCTCAGGAGCTGGTTGAGCAGCTTCAGTTGCTCTTGGGGCCCGAGACCAGCCAGGTCCCTCGCCCATCCATTGAATTCCATCATCAAGATCCAGATAGCCACAGATAACCACAGATAGCCGTTTTACAAATCCACCTGATTCAATCTTATTCATCACATTTCATCACATTTCATCACCATATCTGGGAATCCATGGTTTAGTTACTATAGTTCATCTTACTCCGCACGAATCGGTGCCATGGCACCAGGCCAATGCAGCTGCCGAAAAGTTTCTTGGAGAAAGAGTGATCCACGAAGACCCACGGGTCGAGATATGTTGCGGGTTTCAGGATTTTCACGTCGTGGTTTGAGAACTTCAGATAGATCTGGAATGTTTTCAAATGTTTTGGTCCAGGCCCCTGTCGTCACACTTATGGAAACTGAATGAAACTGATGGCTGTGTTGGGAGCGATTTTCGTTGAGGTACCGAAGACATAGCCCTTTAATGTGGGGTAGGTACATAGCCTTGCTCCCATATGGCATTTTCAGCCTTTCAAGTGGACGTTGGTGACGGATCCTTTCTTTCTCATCCCGAGGACGCATCGTGACTGCCAACCCAGTGATCATACCAGTACCAAAGATAACCTCAGATAACCTCGGATAAGCAAACAAGATCTTCAAGAAACTGCTGAGTTGCAAAGAACTTGAGTCGGAATGCAGGGGCCCTGCGGTTATAGCCTACCTTGGGTGGCCCCTGCGATTACCTTGAACAGGTTTCCGTGATTGTTACATATGGTCACATTGTTGCCCAGCCATCTTCATCCTCACTTTTGTTGACGTTTCTTGATGTTTCTTGTAAAACATTATGAAACATGCATAGTTTAGCCATGTTTGGCGATTCGGAATCTCTGCCGCTTGGCTCAGCTTGGCTCAGCTTGGCTCTGCTTGGCCGCCATGGCGGCTGAGGGTGCGACCTATGGCCCGTTGCGCATCCCGGAGCTGCGATGGCTCTGCCAGCAGCGGGGCTTGACGCCGTATGGCCGCAAGAGGGAGCTGCTGAGTCGCCTGGAAGAACAGGATCAGCAGGAAGAGGTGTCGATGTGGAGGAAAATCAGTGTTTTTTTTGTGTGTTTTTTGTGGTTTCACCGGTATTTAAGGATGATCAACTTTTTTTGACAGTGGCGATGGGTCATATTTCCGTTGACCAAAAACAACAGCAGGTGCCCTTTGCCGAGTGCCCAGCACCGGGTCTGGAGCCCTTCCGGGAGCTCGAGGAGTTGGCGGCGCAATTGGCCGAGGCCAAACTCCCCGCAGCCGCAGCTGCCGCAGCCGCCGCCACGGCGTCTGCGGTGCCCAAGGTGGCACCAGCACAGCCCAAGGGACACCCCGTGGCACCGGCGCAGGCCAAGGTGCCGCCGGCAGTGCCACCAGTTCTACCAGTGCCACCCATCTCGAGACCCGAAGGGGTGGGATTGTCACATGAGGAACGCGCCTTGAGGAGTTTGTTGGAATTCTTTGCCTGTTCAGATGTGGAACGGAAAGGGCAAGATGCTCTCTTCAACTGCAAGTATCGCGAGTTTCTGGGCGCGAATGAGAGCAACAAGACCTTTTTCTCGTGTTTAGTTGGGCGAAATCAAGCGGAGGGCTCAATAAAGCTAGTATCCGTTTTGGCTACCGCTCGGACAGAACGTTTTTCAATGGTGGTTTTTGTATATTTATGTGGCCAGAACAGGGTAAATATCACTTCCTAAATCACTTCCTAAATCATCATAAATCACCATATCAACAGAACATTTCCCTTCATAAATTCACACATCTCAGGAATCTCCCCATCTCCCCACATATTCCCCACATATTCTCCACATTCCAAGGTTCATCCACTCCATCTACCACGTCCTGCAGCCGGACCTCGCCGGCGCCAGCCCGGCGGCCACCACCGCGGCTGCGGCCACCGCAGCAGCCGCTGCCTGCACCACCGACACCCTGCTGCGCTCAGCGGCCAACGGCGATGGCGGCACCGGGAGCGCGGAGATGTGGAAGAAATGTATGGCGCCTTGGTGCCTTATGGATCTTATTAAGTTATATATATAATTATATATAGTTATAATAAGTTATAATAAGTTATAATAAGTTATGAAATATGTATTAATGATATTAATGATATTAATGATATTAATGATATTAATGATATTAATGATATTAATGATATTAATGATATTAATGATATTAATGATATTAATGGTTGGTTTCTAGATATCCTATCCCCCTACTGTCATTCAACACCTCCTTGGAAACCATGGTTTCGTATTTCCACATTGGGACCATGAATTTTTTTCGGGGGATGGGATCAACGGCCCTATGGCATCTGTGGCCCTGGAGGGCCCTATGGCCAACCATGGTTATATTATGGTTCCATGATGATAGTCTCACCATCTATGTTATGAAGAAATCATGAAAACATGTCAAGGCTATACTAAACTATTATATAACTATATATAACTATATATAACTATATATAACTATATATAACTATATATAACTATATATAACTATGATAGCTCATGATTGCGATCATGAACATGACAATTAATGATGCTGAGAATGATTATGGTGCCGACCTTTGTTTTGCCTAAGGCTACCCTCCGGTGTCATCAAACATGGCTGGGAAATCCCCGAACAAAATGAAGATTTATACCAGATTTATGTCTGGGAAAATCACCTACACATGGGAAATTTTCTATTGCCATCTTTTATTCGTATGTTAATTCTTGGTGATTTTTAATGATGGCTAATGGATGATAGTTGATTTCATGATAGTGACGATAGCTCATGAGACTAATGATGACGCATGATAATGATAAGCCATACCTTTTCAGTATGGTGCCTTTTTTGGGCAAAGAAGAAATGAAGAAACATGTTTTGACGTCAATGTTTTCAGTGCTTTGAATTTCTATTTTGAGTCTGTGCCTGTTTCGTTTGCCCATTTTTTCCAGTATCTTAAAATTAATGTGCTTAAAATTTTGAGGCTTGCAAAACACTGTTTGTGCGGGTTTCACCGTGAAATTCACGCGTGCCTCCTGGTCAAGGTTCTGGTTACATGTTGGTTCCTTTTTCTTACCAGTGTTCGATATTCTTGAAGCCATATTCTTTCCTTGCCTGTTTGCTGTATCTATTTTCTGTCTTCATGTTGTTCCCTTCGACGCTTTGCGCAACCGTACCATCATGTGGGTTTGTCTGAAAATAGGCATGCTGCCATGCTCGCTAAATTGCATGGTTTAGTACCATTTCCCCATGAAAACGACCATAAAAAGGTGTAAAAAAACAGTTTTCGGGCCAAATATGTTTCGGAACCGAGATCATCCGCTGACCCAGGAACTCATTGAGAATCACTTGCAGGTGTGTCACCTTCAAATCAAGCACGACGCGCTGTGTGAGGAACTGGAAGCCATCAACAAGGCAACTGAGTCATGGGCAAATAGGAGTTGGGACAAACATAGGGCCCCTGAAGTGGACAACATCCAAGACTCTATCTGATTGTCACTCACTTAGCATTTTCCATCTTTCGCCACTTTTTCTGTTGGGGTTCTTCCGCATCATATTTTCGGATATAGTTCCGGATGCCTCCCACATTCCCAACTTCCAACAGTCAACATCCTCCCACCTTTTCTTCCCATCAACCATCATCAACCATCATCAACCATCATCAACCATCATCAACCCAGCCATTTCGCCATGGCTCGCCATTTCGCCAGGCGGCCATGGAGAAATCGCAGCAGGTTTCCGAGGTTCGTCAGCAGTTGGATCAGTTGATCGAAGCCGAAGCCTCCCAGCGGCAGCAGCTGCTTGGTCGGGCACGGCTGCAGCTCAGTGGGTGGTTGGAGAAGGCAGAAGATACCGAAGGCCTGGATGGCCTGGAGGCTGAAGCTGATGAAGCTGATGCTGAAGCTGATGGTGGTTGATGGATGGAAAGTGGAGGAAAATATGGAGCGGATGGGATGGGAGGGCTGGGAGGGCTGGGAATTGGAAGAGAGACTCCGAGATCTGGGATGATTAGTGATTAGTATAGCTATTGCCTGCCCCAAGATATGAAGATAGCACCTATGCTCCTGAATAGATGTGCCCAACATAGGAATAGTTGCCGCAAACTCTCGTTTTTACTCGATATCATCCAGCATCATCAGGGACCAAGGCTTGCCAAGGTGCCATTTCTTCCTTTCGGTGACATCATGGCGGGAAACTCAACAGGAAAGCGCATGACATGATCTTCACTTATAGATGAAGTTGGTTCGCTCAAAATTTGCACTCCATGACTTTTCCTTCAATTTCCCCCCAAAAAAAGTTGGGTCCCCAAAATGCCTCAACTCATTTTGTGATTGAAATGGATGGGCTGGCGCTCCTATCCGAGGTTAGGCCAAATCTTTCGACAAAAGCTGAGTAGCAGACATCTCCAGATCTTCCTCGACGCATGCCAGGCATTGGGCCATCTGATTCGTTTTCCATTCGAAGTACGGGCCGTTTGAACGGCAGCAAATGTCTTCAAACCACAAAAATGGAACCATTGGGGTTTGTCTGAAAATCTCAGGACTATGAAAAGACCTAAGCTACCATTAGTTGACCATCAAAAAATCCTACATTTTCCTTAGTTGACCAGCACATCTTGTTCTATGCCTTGGGTAACCCCAATGCTTCTCTTACGCCAGGGGCCCTCGGGACCCTCGGGACCCTCGGGACCCTCGGGGCCCTCGGGGCCAGCTTCCAAACGACGCCGCGAAGGTGGAGCTTACGGGTTGAGAAGGTGACAATTACAATAGCTGTAGTTATTCTTTCGAACTGGTCAGCATATATTGATATACGAATACATATATATATACATATTATATATATATATGTGATATACATGAGATGGGATTGGTTGAAACTATTCTCCAGATAAACAAGGTGGATTTTTGAAACACGGTGGATGGCAAGTTCTAGGGCGGTGATTGCAATGTAGGTAACTCAGAAACAGTGAAACAGTGGGACGTCATTTCTACGCAAAAAAATAGTATGTCCACTGAATTGGCTTCAAAACTGTAGCTTCCATCTATAGATTGAAAGAGATCAAACAAAATATTGACAGCATTTTTGTGGCATTTCACAATGTTGCATCATTTTGGTTTTACCCCGATACCACCTAGCTACGGATGGCGGTGATTGGTCCGGAGGTGGCAATGGGGAAGCACGGAGCCTCAAGGATAAAGGTATGGCTAAAGGTATCACCAGGGGAGAATTGAAGATCCCCAAAATCTGCGAAATCTTCCAGATTTTTTTCAAATCCTTCCAGATTTTCATCATTCTTTTGAATGTGTAAAGGGGTTCCAGTCTCTTGAAGAAAGGGCTATGTTAGGCTGTACACCATGGATTCGGATCTGCCGACAAACTTCGACATGAGGGCCTGGTCACGAAAGGTAGCTCCAGAGGGGCTACCTTGAGTTTTACTTTACGAAGTAAAGGGGAGGGCGGCCAGCCCCGTTACCTGATTCTTCAGGAGATTGCTAGTCATTTTAGTACCCCCCCCCCCTCCACACCTCCCACGCACCCTAAGAGCAGACTCAAAACATTGTAATTTACAGTATTTTTGTTCTTTTCGGATCAAGAAACCACATTTTGCTACATGGTGAAACCTCCGTAAATACCAGTGTTTTTGCTAGGTGCTGGCCAAAAAACACTGTAAATACCGTGCTTTTTACTACCAGAGGCAAAAAAACATCGTAAATACCGTGGTTTTGGGCTTCCGACCCGCCAAAAACATCGGTATTTACGGTGTTTTTTGCTCCGAGAGTTGCAAAAACACGCGAAAACACCACCGATTTGACGATTTTCGGCCACTACGGAACCGAGCAAAAACGCTGCAGGGGTAACACCAACACCAACAACAACAACACCAACAGCAACAGCAACAACAACAACGACGACAACAACAACAACAACAACAACAACAACACCAACACACAACGCACAATGCACAACGCACAACGCACAATGCACAACGCACAACGCACAACGCACAACGCACAACGCACACACAAAACACAAAACACACAACACACACACACAACACACACAACACACACAACACACACACAACAACACACAACAACACACAACAACACACACACACAACCACACACAACAACACACACACACAACAACACACAACAACACACCACAACACACAACAACACACAACAACACACGCAACACACAACAACGCAACAACGCAACAACAACACAACAACACACAACAACACACAACAACACACAACAACACACAATAACACACAACACACAACAACACACAACAACACACAACAACACACACAACACACACACAACAACACACAACAACACACCACAACACACAACAACACACAACAACAACAACACACAACAACACACAACAACACACAACAACACACAACAACACACAACAACACACAACAACACACAACAACACACAACAACACACACACAACACACACACAACACACAACACACAACACACACAACACACAACACACAACAACACACAACAACACACAACAACACAACAACACACAACAACACACAACAACACACAACACACAACACACAACAACACACACAACAACAACAACAACAACACACAACAACACACAACACACACAACAACACACACACAACAACACACAACAACACACAACAACACACCACACACACCACAAACACACAACAACACACAACAACACACAACAACACACAACACACACACAACAACACAACAACACACACAACAACACACAACAACACACAACAACACACAACAACACACAACAACACACAACAACACACAACAACACACAACAACACACAACAACACACAACAACACACCACAACAACAACAACAACAACAACAACACCATCAACAGCAGCAGCAGCAACAACAACAGCAACAACAACAACAACAACACGAACACGAACAATACCAACACCAACAACACGACCAACAACACCAACACCACCAACAAACCCAACCACACCAACAACACTAACAACACTAACAACACCAGAAACACTACCACCACCAACAACACCAACAACACCAATACCAACAACACCAACAACACCAACACCACCAGCACCACCAACACCACCAACACCACAACCACCACCAACCCCAACCACATCGCCGAAGCCTTTCAGTCGCTTTTACCAGACTCCCCTTCATATTTTTGGAAAGAAAATGGCCGCGTCGCTTTTACCAGACTCCACTTTATGTATTTTTCCCTCCCCTCTCCCCTTCATTTTTTCTTCGGTTCCTTTCTTGCTTACCTACCTTTCGTGTTCCCCCTCTCAAGTGGGATTCACTAGGAATCCATTCGCATCTTAGATCAAAAACAGTTATTGATATATGTGATGGGTGTATATATATATATATCCATATATATACATTAGGTTTGGATTCCCAATTGCTGGGATGGATGACCAGAAACTGATAAACCAAGTTGACCATGTTGTGATAGCCCAGGCCCCGGCCAACGGCGCCGGGCCGACCGCAACGAGTGCCACGGAGCGCAACCGGAGCTTGCAACAGCTGAGCCGCTGGGAAGACACGATGCCATTGTATCCTATTGAGATCTATTGAGATCTATCGAGTTTTTTTCGACCGTCGATTTTTTTCCGGTTGACTTCATCGCTGGGTTGAGCCCCAATAGACTAACCATGATTAAGCAATATTTTCACAGCCCCATCGAAAAAATCGAAAAAAGTTGCCGTGAATTTGGAAGATAGCCAGGAGCAACTGTGGACCGATCCCCCAGGCGGCTTGATCCAGGTCGGAAATACAACAGTCACTCTGAAGATCTCTGAAGTGAAAGGGCAAATTCGGGATATTTTGACGTTTTTGGTTATCCCATCATGGTTTGACCGTTTGACCCATATCCATTCTTAGATTCTTAGGTCAAATCCTTTCTTTTGTTGCCAAAACATGCTGAACCCAGTACTTTATTCCATGATTTCCATGACTATGCCACTATGATCCATGCCAAGCCACAACAGCATCAACAGCACAGCCTGAGGCGAGCTGTTTCCGCACTGCGTGGACCCTGGCGCCTTGGAAGCTCTGGTTCCGCACCTGCATCTGACGCCACAGGAATGGTCGCAGGTGACTTGTTTCCAAATCATCTTGGTGGAAAAACCATGTCTCAGAATATCATATCATATCATTTCATTATAGTTGGTTTGTAAATGTTTGTTACATCCCCAAAAGGCACGTCCAAAAACACGCATTGCCACCACTATCCATCATTTCAGCATCTTTTGATTTTGTTACATCCCCAAAATGGTCATCTTATGGTCATTTTGTGGTTAGTTATGGCTCGTCAAATCATAGGTCTGGCCGGCCTTTCAACTGCGTGGCGCTGCCGAAGCGACGGCTCTGGGGGTACTCTTCTCCTTGGCCTCCAAACATCAAGGCCCAGACGAGCGTCACCGGTGTCAGCGGTGCCGATGTGGTGCTTAGATGCATCGGATTGATTGGATGGAAAACATGGAAACATATGGGAAAATATTGGAAAAATATGGGGAAATATGGAAAACTTGAAGATGTTGAAGACTGGATTGGATGGACAAATATGGAAAATTTAAAAACAAGAAAATTGGATTGAATATATTGGACAAAATGGATGGAAAACATGGATTGAACATGATTGAAACAATATTGAAAGAAGGGGTGATGGTCTATGATAATGGTTTATCCTTCTCCTGAATTGAAGGATGTTTCGCTATGATGTGATCTGTTCTTTTCTCGTAGAGCCATTATTTTCGGAAGTTATTTTGAAATTAAAGGCATCTATATGAATCTTTTATCTATATCCATATCCATATCTACATCCATATCCATATCCATATCTATATCCATATATATGCCACAAGACATATATATATAGATCTATTATAATGAGTGGACTCTGGCAATGCGCGGGATGGCACCATGTTCAGCCAGGGATGGTGGACATAGTGGTCCACCTGGTCGGCACCCGTCGAGTGAAGCTGGAGAGCTTTCGGGAAGCCGTGGCGCAGGCGAGCGACGGTGAGAAAAGGTGAGAATCAGAGTGGATGAAACTTGTTGCAAGTTGCATTACTTGTTGCATTACTTGTTGCGGATTTATTGATCTGTTTGCATTTGTGGATGCAGCACTTTCCAAATTGTACATCTATCGCGATGTTGGTATGCATTTGTATCATATGTGCATAGACATGCTCTTCTTTGTGTATAGCATGTAGAATGTAGAGATGTTTTTTTTTTTTTTGGGGGGGGTCGGTATGACCGAGAAATTCACCTGGAAAAACAGTTCCGTCGCAGGCGGTGCCACAGGACTTGGGCTCCGGTGGTCAATGGATCGACGAAGAGCTGCCGCCGCGGAGCCGCAGCATGCGAGACACGCTGTGCCAAACCTTCGTGCAGCTCTTCCCCTTGTGCCAGGCGATGCGGTGACGGGGAAAGATACGATGTGCCTTGGTGGATCCTGAAATGACTTAGTGAGGTGATAACATGTGATAACCTGATAAGCCAACAAAGCGAATTTGCCTTAGAAATCAAGAAATGTGTCAAACTAAAGCGCGTTGTCACTTCATTTTGCCCGTGATGGGCTATGCTGACGTGCGCCAACGGACTTTCACTGGACCGGGCACGCAATCGGTCAATGGGTCAATGGGAGATGGCCCCACTTTTCCCAACGTTTGTTGATAGTTTCAATATGTTTCAATGAATCATGTGGCATCCCTGGCATTCCCAGCATCGTTTCCCCCATTTTTCGGCTGAAGATTTCTGGCTTTCCGAAGTTTCTCAGATTTCTCAGTGCGTCTCGCAGGATGCTGATCAGGGCCCCAGACACACGTGGCAAGGGCCTCACCATCTCGTAAGGTTGTGTCATGTTGTGTTGATGTCATATGTAATTAACCAAACATATTCGTTTTTTAGTGTGGCAGGACTTTTTGAGCTGCTTTCACATGCTTGTATGAAATCCAGCCAGTTGATTGTTCAGAACCTGGATTTAGATATGTATGACAGCATCATGGAGCTGTATGGTTTATATATAATTGCTGTATGGTTGTGGTCAAAAAGTCAGTATGAAAGCCCAAACTTCAAACTTGTATCAGTTATCACACAGCCAAAAAAAAACAAAAAATCATGGATGATGAGAAACACTACTTGCAATTTATGGGATCTACACCGTCCTTGCAACAACCAGTGGTGGCTTGATGGGGTGCTCAGCTGAGGAACTTTGATACCTGGTGGGCAGAGCTGACCACCAGCCTACAAGGACCATCAGCCATCAGTCACCAGCAATCATGACATATAATGACTGGTGACTGATGGTGACTGATAATGATATGACAATATTGATTAATTATATGACAATCAATGGTGACTGACAATTATTATGGATAATTAATATCTTATTGATAATGAACACCAACCAGAAAGATATTAATTATCAATAATCATCAGCCATCATCGCGAGAAACAATCAACAAACAGCAGAAATAGGCAAGCATCATCAAAAATCATCAAACAGCTTTTGATCACCCACCTTTCGTTTTCAGGAGCTGCCCCTGGAGCTGCTTTGGCTTTGGTGGCTGGCACCTTGCTGCAGCTGCAGCAGAAGGAGCTGCCATGATGGACCAGATTTCCAAAGATCGATTCAAGATTCAAGATTTTTAACGTGGATAGGATGGGAATAGAAAGAAAGAAAGAAAGATGATAGATAGTATGGACACACACACACATATATATTTATATATACAAACAAGACAATTGACATCAATTGACATGGATAAGTCGGATGGGTATCGGATAGGACAACTTCCGTGCCATTTCCACGGCTCCAGGGCCCGTTGACCCTGGAACTGGTGCTGCGCCCCAAGCGGCGGCGAAGAGTTTGGACCTGGCTGACGCAGCAGGTGGAGATGCTGCCAGAGGCGTGCTGACTCGGCCATAGAATGGTCATGTAGCTTCTGGTAAACATACAAAAAACGATAGAAAATCACCATTTTTAATGGGTAAAACGGTAAAACTATGGAAATTCACCATGCTATTAATGGGTAAATCGACTATAACTGGGTCATTGTCCATAGCTATGTTAACTTACCAGAGGGTAACGGGTAACATTAATGTAGAATTCATGTGGAATAACATGGAATCACAATTTACTGCAAATTGTTTGTTTGCGACATTTCGCTGACCTCCAATGTTTGTTGTTTTGCATATAACTTGTGCAGGGAGGGTAGGATGCCACACTTGCACGTGCATTGCGTGCGTGTATTGTGCAATGCATATGCTGCGTATTTAGTCTGGTGCAGAGGCTAGAATATGGAATTTTCAAAGATAGTCACATTTTAGTGAAGACACATTCAATCCTTTCCAGGATGACGAGTATAACTTGTATAACATATTTTAAATGCATGAGAATCTGGTGCTCACATTCCAACTTTCTGCCAGGTTCTCATCATTTCTGATCTCATCCGCATCGCCCCACCAGGCGCAGTCAGTGGCTTCCTTCATGGCTCGTTTGGGCCGGCATTCCATGCACCTTTGGCTGGGCTGATTTTTTTTCTCCGGGAGTTATTTGAAGTTGAACTTTATTGACTTTATTGATGCTCAATCATAAGATGGTTGGTTAGGCTTCCTTTCACTGGGATGGTGGTGGTTTGAAAAGATGGGTTGCCTCATCTGGAGATGAAGGCCTTGCTGATGAATGGACTTCCCTGGCAAAGATACATGCCTGCAGGTACCCTGGAAGGGGATAAACATCAAGTAAACCGACCCAATCATAACCCACCCCCAAAACAGATGCAGAACACTTTCAAGGGGGTGACTATACATCCAGTTTCCGTGGTCTCGCCACCAGCTACATCCAACATGATCCAACACATCAAACATAATATATATATATAATTATATATATATGAGAGAGGGAAATACATAATCATATACATGAAATATAATTAGATAGATAGATAGATAGATAGCTAGATAGCTAGATAGCTAGATAGCTAGATAGCTAGATAGCTAGATAGCTAGATAGCTAGATAGCTAGGTAGCTAGATAGCTAGGTAGCTAGATAGCTAGGTAGCTAGATAGCTAGGTAGCTAGGTAGCTAGGTAGCTAGGTAGCTAGGTAGCTAGGTGGCTAGGTGGCTAGGTGGCTAGGTGGCTAGGTAGCTAGATATCTAGGTAGCTAGGTAGCTAGGTAGCTAGGTAGCTAGGTAGCTAGGTAGCTAGGTAGCTAGGTGGCTAGGTGGCTAGGTAGCTAGGTAGCTAGGTAGCTAGGTAGCTAGGTAGCTAGGTAGCTAGATAGATAGATAGAAAGATAGCTAGATAGCTAGATAGCTAGCTAGCTAGCTAGGTAGCTAGGTAGCTAGGTAGCTAGGTAGCTAGGTAGCTAGGTAGCTAGGTGGCTAGGTGGCTAGGTAGCTAGATATCTAGATAGCTAGGTAGCTAGGTAGCTAGGTAGCTAGGTAGCTAGGTAGCTAGGTAGCTAGGTAGCTAGGTAGCTAGGTAGCTAGGTAGCTAGCTAGGTAGCTAGGTAGCTAGGTAGCTAGGTAGCTAGGTAGCTAGGTAGCTAGGTAGCTAGGTAGCTAGGTAGCTAGGTAGCTAGGTAGCTAGGTAGCTAGGTAGCTAGGTAGCTAGGTAGCTAGAGCTAGGTAGCTAGCTAGCTAGGTAGCTAGGTAGCTAGGTAGCTAGGTAGCTAGCTAGCTAGGTAGCTAGGTAGCTAGGTAGCTAGGTAGCTAGGTAGCTAGGTAGCTAGGTAGCTAGGTAGCTAGGTAGCTAGGTAGCTAGGTAGCTAGGTAGCTAGGTGGCTAGGTGGCTAGGTGGCTAGGTGGCTAGGTAGCTAGATATCTAGATAGCTAGGTAGCTAGGTAGCTAGGTAGCTAGGTAGCTTGGTAGCTAGGTAGCTAGGTAGCTAGGTAGCTAGCTAGCTAGCTAGGTAGCTGGGTAGCTAGGTAGCTAGGTAGCTAGGTAGCTAGGTAGCTAGGTAGCTAGGTAGCTAGGTAGCTGGGTAGCTGGGTAGCTAGCTAGCTAGGTAGCTAGGTAGCTAGGTAGCTAGGTAGCTAGGTAGCTAGGTAGCTGAGTAGCTGGGTAGCTAGCTAGCTAGGTAGCTAGCTAGCTAGGTAGCTAGGTAGCTAGGTAGCTAGGTAGCTAGCTAGCTAGCTAGCTAGGTAGCTAGGTAGCTGGGTAGCTAGCTAGCCAGGTAGCTAGGTAGCTAGGTAGCTAGGTAGCTGGGTAGCTAGGTAGCTAGGTAGCTAGGTAGCTAGGTAGCTAGGTAGCTAGGTAGCATATATATATATATAAACCGCCACCGCCTTGTGCGGTACTACTGGTATCTATACATAAATATACAAGTTAGAATTATGCGTGGCCGAAAGTTTAAGCATTCAGGACCAAGCCGTCCTCCTTCTGCCACCGCGCGGCAGTGCAGCTCTTTTACGAAGAGCTAGACCAGATGGAGGTGGGACCGCCATAAACATTTTTTTAAAAAAAATCAATATAAGTTTAGATATTTCGAAAAGAAAACATGAATAAATACATATAGATAGATATTTCAATATATAAAAAATATTTAAATAAACAAATATGTATAGCAATGCCCCCCAAGAAGATAAAACAGTTTTTTTTCGGGATGTTACGTCCTGAAAACCGTCACTTTGCAGGCGGCACGGGGGGGCGACGGTCCCGCCCCCCTCGTGAGCATGGAGGGGTCCACCTCGGGGGACCTGGTGTGGAGTACCGCCTGGTGTGGAGTTCCGCCTGGTGTGGAGTTCCACTCGCGGCAGTACTCCACACTGGTCCCCCTGCAGAGGAGCCGGGGTTTTTGAAATAATAAAAAATTGCTTATTTATCGGGTATAATCATCATGATTTAGCAATTTTTTGTTTAAATAAGTCACTTCCTCTGCGGTAACGACATTTAAATATGCGGAGGGTGGGCCAGACCGCGAGGCCCCGGAGGTGGTATGAAATACCAGTTCGTATATTTAAATGTAGCTACCGTATGTCTAAATGGCCGGGCAGGCCAAGGAAAACATTCCCGAAGGTCGAAGGTAGTCTAAAATATTTGTTCGTATATTTTAAAGTCCGTATATTTGAACGTAGTTATCGTAATCTCACTGGGATATGTCCAGGAGCTTGCCCGGCCTCGATGAGGGCGACCTCGTCTTCATTCGCCAAAGGAACGACGGATGGACCCAGATCCAGTTGAACCCATTTCAGTGGAAATGGGTTCCTGGCTGGGCAGTCTGAGCCGAGCCGACGAGGCCGGTTTTT